TGACATTTGTCTAGGGGTGTCCTGGTGAGTGTGTGCTGGCAGGTGGTCCTATCTACAGCAGTTGGAACATTAGGCATTTCCTTTGAATGGTCTGTTCTTGGGTGGTGCTTGGGTAATCTCAGTTTGTGGTCCTTCCAGAAACCAGGTATTGCTTTCAGGGTAGACTACTGAGACTCAGGCCTCCTTTAAACTTATTGATGGCTGAGTCCTATTCTGGCAGGTGATAATAGTTGGAAGTTAAAATCTTCCTTTGGGTGCTCTGTTTTTGTTAAGCTTTTCAAGGCTTGCTGAGTCCTACAGGTAAATATTTCATTATACAAACTCTATCTAAAGAGGCTGATCAGTGTTTCTGAACACTGTAGAAATGAGTTACCTTTATCCTACTTTTTTAACCACATAGAATTGGTTTTCTCCTTTTATTGTGGGATCTGAGGATGGAACTCAGGTATATTAAATGGACATTATTTTGTGTGTGATTAGTTCAAATTCCTACAGGAGCACTATAAGGAATCCTGGAGGGTCAAGATTTATTTTTCCAATTAAATTGATTTAAATTTACTGTTTAAATTGTATATAAGATGTATTGGGGCTGGGATGTAACTTAGTTGGCAGAGTACTTTCCTACGATGCTTTAATCCCTGGGTCTCCAGCACTGCATATAGTGGGTGTAGCAACACATGCCTGTAGTCCCAGAATTTAGAAAGTAGAAGCAGGAAATCAGAAATTCAGGGTCATCCCTAGCTACAAGGATAAAGGCCAACATAAGCTACATGAGACCTTGTCTCTAACATATTGTATTCTTTTTGCTTTTCGAGACAGGGTTTCCCTGTAGCTTTGGAGCCTGTCCTGGAACTAGCTCTTGTAGACCAGGCTGGCCTCAAACTCACAAAGATCCTCCTGCCTCTGCCTCCCGAGTGCTGGGATTAAAGGCGTGTGCCACCACAGCCCGGCGAAACATATTGTATTCTTATAAATGATTATTAACTAATTAATTGTTAGTTCTTTCCAAAATATTGTGTTTTTATTAATTATTTCTCCCAACACAACCATTAGCTTAAACTAAAAGTCAATTCTTTAAGAAAAGTATCCCTGGATAGGTGTGGTAGTGCATATCTTTAATCTCAATGCTAGAGAGGTGGAGGCAGGTGGATCTTTGTGAATTCAAGTCCAGCCTGGTCAATACAGTGAGTTCAATCTAACCAGGGCCACATAGTGAGAGGGTGGAGGTTAGGGAGGAAGAAGGAAGAAAAAGACCCAAGTTTTAGGGTAACATGTAACAGATACTTCAGATTTTCATCCGTTTAGGAAAAATCGCCTGACATAGTGCTCATACTTGTAATACTAGTACTGGGGAGGCAGAACAGGAAGGTTCCATGAGACCTTGTCTCAAAAACAACAACAAACTCTCAAGTGTCTAATGAGGAAACAGTACATCCCAAGCTCCTATTAGACTGAGGGGCACTTGGGAACAAGAGAGAGTTCTTACTATAAAGGTGTACAAACACAAACACACACCACAAATAAGTAAATAATACAACATAACTAAGAGGGACTGGAGAGATGACTCAGCAGTTAAGAGCACTGACTGCTCTTCCAGAGGACCCTGGTGCAATTTCCAGCATCCACACAAGGCAGCTCACAACTGTCTGTAACTACAGTTCCAGGGGACCTGCCACCCTCACACAGACATACGTACAGGCAAAACAGCAATACACATAAAATAAAAAATAAATAAAATTTAAAAATATAACTAAGGAGCTTTAGAGTTTGGGTGTTTGTGGTGTGTTTGTGATGTGTGTGTGTGTGTGTGTGTGTGTGTGTATGTGTATGTGTTTGAGACAAGGTCTTGCTATGCCCAATTTGCCTCAAAGTCAGTAGTAGCCCAGGCAACCTTGAAGTTTTGGTTCTCCAGTTTCAGCCTTTCAAGTGCTAAGGTTACAGCCATGTGCTGCCACACCCAGTTGCCCGGTTATTAAAATGACCTGAGGGTTTGAGAAGCACTGGAGGGCAGCAGTGGGTTCTTGTCAGGAAGCAGGCAAAGCGTAGGGAAAGGTAGCCTGGGAACTCAAAAGTGAAGGACGCCGAAGTTATGGTGTCACACCCTCGCAGTCCTAGCATTTAGAAGGTGGAGGTAGGCAGAGACAGTTCAGGGTTATCTTCAGTTACATCTTAAAGTGAAAACTGAAGACAGCCTAGGTTACTCGAGACTCTGTGAAAAAATCCATGTTGTTAGAGGCCTACCTCCATACTCAGACAGTGATATGCACATATATCCCCCTCCACGTGGGTACACAAAATATCACTGATAGAAACAGTCTAAACCAGGTGCACACACCTGTAATCCCAGCGTTTAGGAGGTAGAAGAGGGTGAATCTCTATGAATTCAAGACCAGCCTGGTCTATAGAGAGAGACCTTGTCTCAAGTAAATAAATAATAAAAATTGATGAAAAAAGGAAACAAAAGAACTTAGAATGTCAGAAGATTGTCTTTGATCCTTGTGACTTGAGGGCTAGACTGTCTATAAATATGTTTGCTTCATCTTATATTATCTGGTTGGTTGGTTGGTTGGTTGATTGGTTGAGTGGGTTGTGGGGGAACAGTGATATTTTTAGATTTTAATGGGAATTAATTAGCTGTCACCATTTATAAACCAGCAAGTTTTATAAATCTGCGCTTTTAGCCTATCCTTTAAAAAAATCACATTTATTTATTTAGGAGGAGTAGTGGGTGTGGGTGTGAGGGTCAGTGTGCCACAACAGGGTGTGGAAGTCGGGAAATTACCTGGGGAGTCAGTTCTCTCATTCTACCACATGGGGCCAGGTTGAACTCAGGTTGTTGGACTTGGTAGCGTGCACATAAGTGAGCCATCACTGTGGGCCTGGCTTATCTTCACAATTGGATGGGCTGGAAATATGGGGCCTGCCAGTCAGTGGTGGTGCATGCCTTTAATCATCACAGCACTAGGGGACAGAGGCAGATGGATCTCTGTGAGTTCAAGGCCAGCTTGGTCTACAAGAGCTAGTTCCAGGACAGGCTCCAAAACCACAGAGAAACCCTGTCTCGAAAAACCAAAAAAAAAAACAAAAAAACAAAAACAAAAACTAATGAACTTTTTAAATTTCATATTAAGAAAGTTGTGGTGCCACTGAAAAATTAAGGGACTAGTAAAAGAATCTGTTTAATCTTTGTATATGAGTCAATAAAGCTGGAAGAGTACTATAGAAGTGCCAGTTTGAAGTATCTCTGGTTTTGACTCATTATCTTGGATTATTTAATGGTTTTTTGTTTGTTTGTTTGTTTGTTTGTTTTGTTGAGGCAGGGTTTTGCTGTGTAGCCTTGGCTGTCCTGGAACTCACTCTGTAGACCAGGCTGGACTTGAACTCAGAGATCCACCTACCTCTGCCTTCCAAGTGCTGGGATTAAAAGCACTGCCCAGTTTGCAATTTAATTTTTAATTAAATGTGGTGTGTGTGTGTGTGTGTGTGTGTGTGTGTGTGTGTTTGTGTGTAGCCCTGCCTGCCTGTCTCTCTATCTGTAGACTCTATCTGTAGATATGTACACACAAGTAGATATGTACACACGAGTGCAGGTTCCCCAGGAGGCTAGGGATGTCAGATTCCTTGGAATTGGAATTGTGAGCCTCTGGGAAATGAGTTCAAACATGGTTCCTCTGCAAGAACTACAAGGACTCTTTTTCCTCTATTCCTGCACACACACCAGAAGAGAGCACCAGATCTCATTATAGATGGTGTGAGCCACCCTGTGGTTGCTGGGAATTGAACTCAGGACCTCTGGAAGAGCAGCCAGTGCTCTTAACCTCTGAGCTGACTCTCCAGCCCTGCAAAGACTCTTTAATTGCTGTGGCATCTCTCCAGCTCTTAAGGGTTTGTTTGCTTGCTTTTAAGGAAATCCTACTACATCCTAGGACTATAAAGGGTGCTAGGCAAAGTGTTTGTAGTCAACAGAGTATAAGAAAATCTCCTCTGAGGCCTGGGGAGGTGGAGGTGGCTCAGGTATGTGAGGTTCCCACTTGGTTCTTGCTGTGCCAACATGAGGACCTGAGTTTGGATCCCCAGTACCCACACAAGAAGCCAGGCGTGAAAGCAATACCTCTAACTTCATGTACTGGGCAGCAGAGACAGGCATATCCCAGGGACTTGCTGGCAGTCATTCTAGTGAAAGACCTTGTCTCAGTAAAGTGGAAAGAATCACCCTCTGGTTTCCACCTGCACACACGCACACACATAGTACACAGACACATGTGCACTGTGCGGCATATGTTCCCACAGTCAAGTTTAGAACTGGGGCTTTACTGATCTTTAGTAATTACTCTTTTGCAGGGCTGCATAGTGAGACCCTATCTCCAAAAAAGTTACTGAGTCCTATATATAATGTCTTCCTGTATGCTTCTGCTTGTGAGACAGTTTAATTTATAAGTGAAATACAATAATAAATGATAAAATAGGATAAATATAACTATGCTTTGATAAAAAGATATTTGAAACTTATAAATTGTTCATTTTCAGAATTTTCCATTTAAATGTTTTTCAACCACAGTCAGCTGTGGATAACTGAAACTTTGCTAAGCAAAACTGGATAAAGGGGGGCTGGAGAGATGGCTCAGTGGTTAAGAGCATTGCCTGCTCTTCCAAAGGTCCTGAGTTCAATTCCCAGCTACCACATGGTGGCTCACAACCATCTGTAATGAGGTCTGGTGCCCTCTTCTGGCCTGCAGGCATAGACACAGACAGAATATTGTATACATAATAAATAAATAAATATTAAAAAAAAACTGGATAAAGGGGTTGCTGTAAATGCCTCCCACAGTCAGTACTTGTTTATGAGGTAGAGATAGCTTATTACTTCATGTTTTTACTATATTTGTTTATTGGGCAGTATAAACCCCTCTCCGATTGATGATGCATTCTTATCTAAAAGACTGATTCTTCACGCATGGCTAAGAAAGCACCTTGTGATTGTGAAGAAGAAGGGAGCAGTAGCAGCAGCTGTCCCCTCTGGAAGGTAATTATTGTAGCCCACTCAATCAGCTTAACGCAATGGAGAACGAAGGCTTGCACTGCCAGACTCACTTTGAAATAGCACCTGCATGGTTTCATTGTACAGAATGACCCTTATAGACACGAGTGGTCTGAAAATCTAACGCCCTTCTGATGGAAACAAACTACAGAAGGAAGGAATCTGCATATAAGAAAGAGTTTTATATCTGTTGTCACTACCAGTGCATCAATTCTAATCCTTTAATGGGAGTTATGTGATTTGAAGACTGTAGGACCTTAAAGAATTTATGACTCACTGCCCTCCTGATGGGAATCCACCCTGACTAGCATGGTGAGATTTTGGCCGAGACTTTGAGGCAAAGAGCCTTCCCTCCCTTCCCTCCCTTCTCCCCCACCCCCCCACCCCCAGTGTGCGCTGAATCACCTCACTGGGAGAGTTTTACTATTTGAGTATGCTCTGTTTCCATGCACACAGTTTTAGTGGACTTTAATAAAGATTGATTTTTCATTAAGCCTTTATTAGTTTTCTTGACGTTTCAAATGACATGTGGCTAGGTCTGTCTGTGATTTTCAAAGCTGAGCTGGTGGTCAGTAGTACCACTTTCTACCAGTACCTCTTGAATACCTTATCATTCTACTGCTCTGTGGTTATAAACATTTTAATGTATGTAGTGTAAAGTAAATTCCTTTTATGTTTGTGTTTTTACTCTGAGTATTTAGTTTTAGTAGGTTGTTCAATTACTTACTGGTAGAAATTGTGGCTTATTTTCCTCTTTCTCTTTCAGGAATGTATCTCATTTTTTTTTCAAATTTTAATTAGATTTTGCTTATAGAAATGAGCAGAATATTGTGTGAAGTGTAATTTTTAAAATTTAATTCTTTTACTTATATTAACAAATAGATTTAAGGTTTTTTAAAAAACTATTAAATTTTTACTAATTTTCTCCTATCACTTTTTTTTTTTTTTGAGACAGACTCTCACCGTCTAAATCTGGGACTCGTTAGTTAGATGGCCGGATCGGGTGCCCCCTTCCCCACTGCATTTCGGGTGCATTCGTGGGTGTCTAAGGCCCTACATTTGACTTTGAAAACCTAAAAGGTGTTATGTATGCCCATCGTCTTCAGACACCAAGGTCCCAGATGAGTCATGCTCACTGCTGAACTCTTCCACACTCACCTTTGAGACCTACCTTCCTTTGCTTGGTGTGGCTTTGGCCATTTCTAGTCCTGTAGTTAAGTTCACTGTTCAAAACTGTTATCCGAGTTACATTTTAAACTTGCCCTATGCTTTTTTTTTTTTAATTGCCCTATGCTTAATGTTTAATCTTGTTAAAGGCAGCTTTGCTGTGGGCACAGATGAATTGGCAGTAGGCTGGTTTACATGGCACTGTTTTCAGGACTTCAGATGGACTTCTCTAGTCTCTTATCCTGTTGAAATTCTCAATTGTTGCTAAATGCTGCCATTTTATCCAAGCTGATCTATACTGCTGTTTGCTTAGGGAGGGAGTGGAAAGACCTAAATAATTACCTCAGGGTGTTACCTGGAACCATACAAGATAAATAAGCCTAGTGCTTTAAAACCCTGAGTTAGGGCCTCCAGAACTGTCCTTCCTGACATTTGGCCTCTCTTCTGGAACACCTGTATTTTCTAGGCATACTTGAGATTCTCAGAAATTCTCTTCAAGTTAATGCCTTCCTCTGACCCAGGATCTACCTCGGCCTCATTCATCACCTACCCCTCCTCTCCCCCTCCTAAGCAGCTAGCGCCCTGAACACATTTCTCCCAGAGTACTTATCCCAACACATTGTAGCCATTAGTTTACCCATCTGATTTTTTTTTTTTAAGTAAGCCTCCCCACTAAAACCGATGTCCTTTATGCATCTAGACTCTAGCCTGATGCTGATATGTTAGACACTTAGTTGGAAAACCACTGCCCGGCTTTCTAGAGACCACCCCAGGAACAGAAATTATCATTAACTTGTCCACCGATTATCTAATGTACAAACAACTCAAGGGCTGGAGAGATGGCTTAATTCAGAGGCTCAGAGCACTTGTTGCTCTTGTAGAGAACCCAGGTTTGGATCCCAGCACCCATTTGGTAGCTCATGACTATCTGGAACTCCAGTTTCAGGGCTAAACAACGCCACCTTCTGGTCTTTCTGGGCACTCACAAACACAGTGCACACCCAGCAAGGCCATGTAAGTAAAAAAATAAAATTCAAGGATTTATTTTCTTTTTAGAGACAAAATCTCATTACTTAGCTCATGGTGGCCTTGAACTCTTTCTTTTTTCTTTTTTTTTCTTTCTTTTTTTTTTTTTGTTTTGTTTTTCAAGACAGGGTTTCTCTGTGTTGCTTTGGAGCCTGTCCTGGAACTAGCTCTTGTAGACCAGGCCTCTGCCTCCCTAGTGCTGGGATTAAAGGCCACTGCTGCCCAGCTGGCCTTGAACTCTTTTATCCCCAGGTGATTTCAGACTTGTAATGTTCATATCTCAACACTCAGGTGCTTGGGTTATAGCCCTGTGCTACCAAACCCCACTAAAATTCACTTTTTTGTTTTGTTTTGTTTTTGTGTTTCAAGACAGGGTTTCTCTGTATAACAGCCCTAGTTGTCCTGGAACTAGCTCTGTAGACCAGGCTGGCCTTGAACCACCTGCTTCTGCCTCCCGAGTGCCGGGATTAAAGGCGTGTGGCACTACCGCCCAGCTAGAATTCAGTTCTTAAGAAACTTCTGCCCTGTTGGGAAATAGTAATTCACATTTTTAATCCCAGCATTCAAGAGGCAGAGACAGAGTAGATCTCTGAGTTTGAGACCAGCCTGGTCTACAAAGTGACTTCCAGGACCACCGGGGCTACACAGAGAAACTCTATCTCAAAACATCATCCACCCCACCCCACCAAAAGAAAAAAAAAAAAGGAAACTCTGCCCTAGGAGCAATAATTCTGTTGGTTGGCATTTAGCAATTATAGAAGTAAATGCACACAAAAGGTGGAGAAGGGAAGAATGGAAGATAAATGATAAAAGATAAAAGAGAATGAGTTGGCAAAAATCTCCACAGTTGCAAACTAGCACGGGGTGACTCATGTGTGAAGCAAGGCTTGTTTCAGACGGGCTGGACAAGGAGCAAAGAGCAAAGGCAATCCACAGTGAGCGCAAGCACTCCTAGCAAACAGGCAGACAGGATCTGGTGAGTACCTCCTGGGGTCCGGAGCCTCCTGCATGGTGCTCTCCCATAGTCTAGAGGGCATGGAAGATGAGGAAGAAGCAAACTGAAGCTCCGGGGAGGCTGGCAGGAGGGCCAGTGTTTACTCTGGTTATAAAGGAACAGTGATAAGCTCAGGAGATGAAGGAAGCAGGATCTGAGTTAGAGGCCAGCCTGAGCCACACAGGGAGACATCAGAAACAAACAAACCAAAAACTACTTTTGAAAAGACAGTAACAGGAGATGGGCACACATTACCTGTACCAAAGACGTAGAGTAGTTGAAGGGGCTGTGTTGGGGAGAAGAGAATGAGCAAGAGATTACTGGAGAAAGCAGTTCTGAAAAGAGTGGATTTAGAATATTGTATTCTTCCCAGTCTTTAAAAAGGAAACAACTGTCTAAATTAATTTGAGTAGCATAAAACTTAACTCATTTGGACAAAATGAAACCTCTGTGTAATCTACACATTTGGAAAAATAGTCTGTTCTTGGCAGCTTGGGATCAAGTTCTCCGGTGTGGGGAGATTAATTCTTTGGAAAGAAGTCAAGTTCCTATGCTGTGCCAAATGGTCCAGACCTATGTCTGAGCTATTAGGACTGCTTTGATCCCTTCAGGGTGTTTATCCAGCACCTACGGTGTATTATCACTGTTCTAGCCATAAACACATCAGAAGCAAAACTCAGAAATCCCTGTAGGTGGAGGAACATGGAGGATAGAAGTGGAGAAAGGAGGAACATGGAAATAGAGGAGACTGGGAGTTGGGAGGAGAAAGTCACCGTGAAGAAAAGCAGAGAATGAGCATGGAGCCAGCTGAGCTGCAATTTTCAAAAAGGAAGGCAGGGAGGATTTCACTGAGAAAATGGCATGTGAGTAAAGCCTGTGAAAAAGTGAGCAAGTCATGCAAGCAGGTCTTGTGAGATGCAGCGCCTCGGTCAACTCCACAGCGAAAGCTCTTCTAATACCATGTCAAGGTGCTGAGGGCAAAGGAATCTCGTGTGGTCTTGCTTTCTTGTAAACCCTTTGTTTGACCTTCTCCTCACACAAGTATGACTCTGCAGTTTCTAGCTCCATGGAAACAGATACTTAGTGTGTGTTTCCCCCCTTTTTAATCTCCTGGAAGAAAACAGGTGTCTGCTCAATGAATGTTTGCTGGAGAGGTTTATGGAAACTACAGTAATGCAGAAAATCTGAGTGACCCCAGAAGGAGTTTAGTGACAGATTGAGAAAGCCGATGAACAAAGTCTAAAGCAGCAGGGCATGGTGATACATTCTGCTGAGAGGCAGAAGCAGGCTGATCTCTATGAATTCAAGCCCAGTCAAGACTACATTTTAAAAAAAAACAAAAAACTTTGTCTCAAAACACAAGAATATCTAAAATAGTATTTCTGCTTTCAGCTATTTTAAGTTGACCTTCATGAGCTGCCCACTTGCTGTAAAAGAAGAACCAGCAAAGGTAGTGCTTTAAGAAGTGAGTACAAGTCGGCCGGGTGGTGGTAGTACATGCCTTTAATCCCAGCACTCAGGAGGCAGAGGCAGGCGGATCTCTGTGAGTTCGAGGCCAGCCTGGTCTACAAGAGCTAGTTCCAGGACAGGCTCCAAAGCTACAGAGAAACCCTGTCTCAGAAACCCCCCCCCCCCCAAAAAAAAAGAAGAAGAAGAAGGAGTACTACTCACTTCAAGAAGTCTGGCCAGGCATCTGCCCTTTCTGTGATTGCTTTCCTGGAATAGAGTTTCCTTTGTTTGGGATTCTGAAAGATTAGCAATTCTCATTGTTTATTTCCCCCTAAATAACAGCTTTCATTCTTAGCCATAGGATAGAAGTTGAGCCTTGATCCTCAAGTAGCTTTTCAACCTGCCATTGCCGTGCGTTCAATAACCACAGCTTCTTTAAATACTTTTAAACTACAAGTTTAAACTTTCATTTGCTTAACTTTATGTGACATGTTGTTTCTGGGGAGAGAAGTGTTTTGGCTAAACAAACCCCAGATGGTTAACAAAGGAGAATAATCTAGGACCCCTAATCTGTATACTCCGTGTGTACCAAGTGTTCTATAGGGATAAAAAGCCTGGGGAATAGGCTTTGGTTTCAGATCTTGTGAATTAACCAGTAGCATTGACTTAACCCAGAAGTTCAGAAACGGAACCGTTTGGCGTAAATACATAACAGCAACTAAGCAAGACTTACGTGTTAGAGGACAGCTGTGGCATTCCTTACTGCTGCCAGGAAAGCAGGAGCAACAGCCAGGAGATGGCTGGAGATGTCCACAGTCACTTCTGGTTGTCACAGCTGATGTCCTGGGGAGGGGTGCAGTGAAGCCTTCTGCAGACATCTAGTGCATACAGGCCAGAGATGCCACTAAACAACCTCCTATACACGGGACAGCCTGGGACCAGGAGCCCTCAGCCCCAGGAGTCTGTGCTGAGGCCGAGAAACCCCAGCACGAGGACCTCTAGCTCTCTTCACAGTGTAGGTCAGCTGGAAATCACCAAGAAGAGTGCCCTATTTGGTTTGGTTTTCATGTAATGTCCACCTAGGAAAGAATAAATGTTTAAAACAACCACATAGAATTGATTCCGTTGTTCCACTGAAGGCTACTACTGAAGGTTTGGGTCTTTTTTTTTTAACGAGATTTATTTTATTCTAATTGTGTGTGTTGGATGAGTGCTTGCATAAGAGTATCAGATCCCCAGGATCTGGAATGATAGGCAGTTGCAAATGACCCTGTGTGGGTGCTGGGAACCCAACTCAGGGCCTCTGTAAGAGCAGTACATACTCTTAACTTCTGAGCCATCTCTCTAGCCCTGCTACTGAAGGTTTCACCACAGATTTCAGGAACATTCATTCACACTTCCTTTAATGGCTTTGATGCATTATGATGAAAAAAAGCTTCTTGTACCTTTTGAGAAGTCAGTAATAATAGTAACTGATAATAATATAACAATAATAACAAATCTATTGTTTCTTCGCATTTCCCACAACATATTAAATAATCAATCTTTAAACAATATCATGTGACTTAAACACAGAAAACCATAGAGGAGAAACAGAACCCTTGTTCTCACCCCCCTTTCACAGAGGAGGCAGTGAAGCCTTAGAGGCTAAGGGACTCCTCAGGATTGTGTAGCTCCCCAGGAGATACAAGCACTGGACTGAAACCCAGGACTCAGACTTGACAGTTGTGTTCTCTTTGTTGTGTTCCTTGCTTTTATGCTAGGTTCCCAGCATCATTTGAACAAATTCAAAACAAATAGTTAGCTAGCACATGCTGGTTTTGTCTCTTCTGAAGGCACATTTAAAAATACAGTTGCGGGGGCTGGAGAGATGGTTCAGCACTGTTAAGAGCACTGGCTGCTCTTCCAGAGGTCCTGAGTTCAATTCCTACATGGTGGCTCACAACCATCTGTAATGAGATCTGGCGCCTTCTTCTGACCTGCAAGCATACATAGAGGCAGAGTGTTATATACATAATAAAATAAATTTTTTAAAAAAGAACGAAAAATACAGTTGCTAGGGCCAGGTGTGGTGGTGCAAAACCTTTGATCTCAGTACTTGGGAGGCAGAGGCATGTGGATCTCTCTATAGGTTTTTGGACAGCCTGGTCTACATAGTTCCAGGACAGCTGGGGCTACATAGACCCTGGCACAACACATGAACACGTAGACATTTGCCATAAGGGGGTGTTTGAAATCAGAGACAATGAAAGGTGGATAAAGCATCTGATTTCTGGTCAGGATTTCACCACCGACTTGCTTTCTGACTTCCAGCAAGACATGGAATGTCTCTGCCATAATTTGTCCATTCACAGGCTGCTCAGCAGTTAAGAGCACAGGCTACTCTTGCAGAGGACCCAGGCTCAATGTTCAGTACCCACATGGCTGGGAACAAGTGTTATGTAACTCCAGTTCCAGGATATTTGACTCCCATTCAGGCCTCCCTACACGGAGCAAAAACATGATACACAGACCTTGTATACAGACAAAAGAGATCGATGTGTGAGAAATTTACCCATTCATTCTAAGTTCTCATGACAATCACATGATCTGAAACGTAAAGTGTGGTAGTCTTGTTAGGAGTTTGGACTTAAGTTGATTTATTTCCTTAAAATGTTGTACATGAAGCCGCTGCCAATATTGACCACAGGTACAGTTTGGTAGCCTACTTCTGGAAGTCCATAAACACAAGGAGAGATGTTTTATAACTTGGTTGTTGGTGAGACTTAAATCCAATGTGTAAGTAGCTAAGGATGACCTTGAATTACTCTTTTTTTTTTTCTGAGACAACTTCTCACCAAGTAGCACTGGCTGGCCTGGAGCTCACTGTATAGACCAGGCTAGCCTCGAGCTCACAGCAATACGCCTGCCTCAGCCTCCCTGACTTCAGTTTTGACCAACCTGCTGGTTTCAAAGGCACTACTTATCTGAGGATGACCTTGAACTCCTAACCTTCCTACTTCCAGCTCCTGAATTTGCTAAGATTACAGGAAGGCACTGACACCTGTTTAACCCTAACCTAGTGCTTCCTGCATGCTGTGCAAGTTCTTCGCCAACCCAGCCACCCTTCAGTCCTGAGTTTATACCGTCTTTACAACTTTAATTTAGAAGTTCAGCATTTTTTCTTCAGCACTAACATTAAATATAGGGCCTCTTAGTAGGAAAACACTCTACTCAGTTATATCCCCAGCAATCCCACACCACTGCTGTGACCTTGTTTTGAGACAGGGTCTCATATATCCTAGGCTGGCCTCAAACTAGAGTATAGGTGACTTAGCTAGGGTTTCTGTTGCTGTGAAGAAGCACCATGACCACAGCAACTCTTTTAAATGACAACATTTAATTGAGGATGCTTACAGTTTCAGAGGTTCAGTCCATTATCATCCTGGTGGGACATGGCAGCATGCAGGCAGACACGGTGCTGGAGAAAATGAGAGTTCTACATCTTGATCCTAAGTCAGCAGGAAGTAAACTGTGTCACTGTGGGTAGCTCGAGCATAGGAAACCTCAAAGCCCAAGTCCACATTTCCTCCAAAAAGATTACACCTATTCCAACAAGACCACACCTCTGAATAGTGCCACTCCCTACAGACAAGCATTCAAACACATGAGTCTATGGGGGCCATGCCTGTTTAAACTACCGCAGTAGGCAAGGATGATTTGAAATTCTGACCCTTTGCCTCTACTTTCCTGAGCACTAAGATGACAAACTTTTACTTCCATGCTTGGTTCATGTGGTGCTGAGTATCAAATTCGGGGATTTATGCATGCTGGTCAAGCATTCTAATTGACCTACATCCCCCTTTAAAATGTTCCATTTTGAAATAACTTTCTTAAGTTGAACAGGCTGACCTTAAACTTACTTTGCAGCCCAGGTAGGTCTCAAACTTGTGATCCTTCCAACCTTAGCCTCATGAATAGCTGGGATTACAGGTCTATATCATCAGGCCCAGTTGAAAGAAACTTCTTTTTTAAAGATTTATTTATATATCATGCATGCCTGCATCCCAGAAGAGGGCACCAGATTTCATGATAGATGGCTGTGAGCCACCATGTGGTTGCTAGGAATTGATCTCAGGACCTCTGGACAAGCAGGCAGTGCAGTACTCTTAACCTCTGAGTCCTCTCTCCAGCCCCCAAAGAGCTTCTTAAGTGCCAGTCAAAACCAAGAGGAGGAAGGCATGTTAGTGTATGATATAAAGGCAAACTTGTCAAAATGGAAAGAAGAAAATTAAGTCGACCCATAGAAGCAGGGAAGAAGACAGCCTTTGAGTATGTGAAAACCACCCTACAATTCAAGACAAAGTGTGGGAAAGTATATTTTAAATCCCAGTTTCCTCTTGGAACCAGATACTCTTTGGTAGAAAGGCCTAAGAGCCTGAGTTGCCCTGGTTTAGCTTGTTGTACTGGTTATGAGAAATAGAGAAGGAACACCTTGGAGATCTGTAGGATTTCCATAATGAGTTATTTATTTACTTATTAAAATAGGTTAACCATAAAAGCCAATTGACTAACCTGTGTCTCTTTGTTCCCTAAGCCCCTACAGGAGTGTGAACAGCCCTGCTTCAGCAACAAAGCCTCAGGTCCACATCTTGGGAAGAATATGGCCGCTTCTTGGGACGCTGTCTTTTTCATGCTGATGATAGCCTGTGTTGGCAGCACTGTCTTCTACAGAGAACAGCAGACTTGGTTCGAGGGTGTCTTCTTGTCTTCCATGTGCCCCATTAATGTCAGTGCCAGCACCTTTTATGGAATTATGTTTGATGCAGGCAGCACTGGAACTCGAATTCATGTTTACACTTTTGTGCAGAAAACAGCAGGTAAGTGCAGCTGGGACCCTTTGCAGTCTGCATGTATCTATGCCTTAGCATCTTCTTCCAGAAACAGATGTGCTGGGTGTGGTGTGGATTAGAGAACCTTCCAGCTGTTGGATATCAATCTTCAGAGATATTATTGAACACATAGTTTAATGTGGAATCAAGAGAGACTTGTGGGATAGATTAGGGGCATAGCTCAGCTAGGGGAGCATTTGCCTAACTTTCATGAAGTCCTGAGTTTGATCCACAACAGCACATAAGTTGTGCATGCTAGTGCATGGAGGGGAAAGCAGGAGAATAGGGTCATCCTCGGCCACACAACAGGCATTGACTCATAGGTAGGTAGGTAGGTAGGTAGGTAGATAGATAGATAGATAGATAGTTTTGTCCAAGTATAGCTATAACTCATCCATCTTCTCTAAAGGTTAATACCCCAGAGGTCCAGAATATTGAGAATGTTGGCAGTGATTCTGGGGGAAAGTGTCCCAGTAAGTTTTCCCTGCCGTCCTTGGAAAGGGAACTGAGGGGACCTTGAAGAGTAACTTTCTCTGAAATGTCAGTTTTCTTTCCTTGGGTTATCTAAAGAGCCCAGGAACTCAGGCGGGAGGACCACAATTCAAGACCAGCTGAGGTTGTGTAGGGAGCTCAAGGCCAGCCTGGGTTACATAGTGAAACTGTCTCCAAAGTCTATTAACAGTTTGAAAAAGAAAGAGAGAGTTGGGGGAAGGAATAAGAGCTGGAGTTTCACCAGAGAGAGAGAGCAGAGGAACCGTCAGGGTTGCTTAACACCCTGTGGTCCCCTTCCTAACAGTTCTGCAAAGCATTCCTCACAGCTCAGCTGGAGACTTTTAATTTACTAAATCATACAACAATGTCTAGAGATTAGCATTTGAAGTAGTCTAACATCTGGTAACCCCTACCCCCTCTCTGTTTCGTGGACAAAATAGGACAGCTTCCCTTTCTGGAAGGTGAGATTTTTGAGTCTGTGAAGCCAGGACTCTCTGCTTTTGCAGATCAACCCAAGCAGGTGAGTGTTATGATCGATTCTTTTGTTTCCATGTTGTATATGCTAAGGAGAAAGCCCAGAGTGAGTGCTCTGTGGTTGAGCTCTGTCCAAGAAACCTTTTACTTTGTATTTGGGTCAGCATCTCACTAAGTTAACACAGCTGACCTTGAACACACTCAGTGGCATTAGAAGGCCTTAAAATTGTGCCCATATTGTTTCAGTCTCATGATAGCTCTACAACACCCCTGTCATTAACTCATGTTGTAAATCTCGTGCTGTTCAGTAATAATAGTGAGGGCATGTGAGAACATTTTTCCTTCTTAGTGAGGTTCTGAACTGGATACCCCAGACTCACAAGGAGTAGAAAGAAGGCTAGAAATAGATTTGGGGAGTGGGACAGGTGCCTCAGTGATTAGAAGTACTTGCTGTGCAAGTGTGAGGAGCTGAGCTCAGACCCCAGCGCCCACGGAAAAAGTTGACATGTCATTGCTTGACTGCCTGTCACCACAGCACTGTGGGGATCAGAGACAGGAGGATTGATGGGGCTTGCTAGCTAGCTGCCAACCTGGCTGGGTGTGGTGGCTCATACCTGTAATCCCCAGCATTTGGTAGTCTGAGGCAGGAAGATTACCAAGAGTTTGAGGCCAATTTAGGTTATATAGTGAAATGTATTTGTTTTGTTTTGACAGCCTGGGCTACAGAGAGACCTTGTCTTAAACAAATAAATAAAACAGTGTGAGCTTAAAGAACTGAAATGTGTTTTCTAGTTGAGCAGGTAATTGGCAAATGTGCTAAGGGTCTGAACTAGTGAAAGCAGCTTCATTAGCAGAAGAGGATTTGACATTTAGAAAGGAAGATTGTATTATGTTTGCTAAGAGGAGGAGTGTGCTGGCTCATACCTGTCTACTCAGCCAGCATGTGGGAGACTGAAGCAGGAGGAGTAAAGAAGTTTTGTCTCAATGGGTAGCTTGTTATCAGAATAAATTTTCACTTAATAAAACAGAGGGTTGGGGCTGGAGAGATGGCTCAGAGGTTAAGGATGCTGATTGTTCTTCCAGAGGTCCTGAGTTCAATTCCCAGCAACCACATGGTGGCTCACAACCATCTACAATGAGATCTGGTGCCCTCTTCTGGCCTGCAGCCTTACATGGAGGCAGCACACTGTATTGTATACATAATAAGTAAACTCTTTTAAAAAATAAATAAATAAATAAATAAAACAGAGGGTTTTTTTTTTTTTCATTTTATTTTTGTGTACGGGTGTTTTTCCTATCTTCACCATTGCCTGTGGTGGACAAAAGAGGGCATCAGACACTTCCAGGACTGGAGTTACAGACAGTCATTAGCTGCCATGTGGGTGCTGGGAATCAAACCTGGGTTCTTATAAGAAAATTAATGCTTTTAAGCACCAATACTAATGCCATTCTCTTTTAAAGGGCGCTGAGACTGTTCAAGAACTCTTGGATTTGGCCAAAGACTCAATCCCGAAAAGTCACTGGAAAAGGACCCCAGTGGTTCTGAAAGCAACAGCTGGACTGCGTTTACTGCCAGAACAGAAAGCCCAAGCTCTGCTCTGGGAGGTGATTTTTGAATCTGAATCTTGGATAATGCTGGGTTTTGTTTCTGTTTTTTTCTTTTAAGAAGTACTTGGGAGTGACTGCTGCTTTTAGTATCCCATCATTGCTCAGTTATTGTGGTGACTGGGTAGTCAGCTGGTCATTACATTTTAAATTACCACCCTTCAACTTAAAGAGGTTTTCCTTAAAAAGTTCAAAGTACTCCTTCCATGATATTTTTATTGCATTTATTTTTTTGTTTATTTTGAATGTGTTTGTGTGTGTGTGAACTCAGCATGTGCCAGGGTGCAGCATGGATGTCAGAGGTCAACGTAGAGTTCAGTCACAGCTTCCACCCAGATAATCAGGCTTGGTGACTAGTGCCCTTACCTACTCAGCCAGCTCACCTGCCCTCCAAGATATCATTTATTTGAATTTTCCAAAGGTATAATATAGAAATGGTTTTAAATAAACTCTACTGAAGAAAAATTACATATAATGAAATCTGTCTACTTATCAGGGTCTGAGCATTGGATCCCCAGCACATCCATAAAAATACCAGGCATGTTGGCACACATCCGAGATCTCAGTGCTGCGGAAATGAAGACAGGGGATCCCTGGGACTTGTTGGCCAACCAGCATAACCTAACCACCCAGGCCCCAGTGAGAAATCCTGTCTCATAAATGAAGGTGACAGACCTTGAGAAGGAAAGCTTAAAATTGACCTCTGCCCTGCATACATCTGTGCACACAAATGTGTACACACACTGCAAATATGCACACACAAATTAAAATGTAAATGTACATGTAAAGCACTCAGATAAAGGTGTTTTGACAAATATAGAGGTCTTGTACCCTTTTTCAGTCTGTTTTCACTACTCTTGAAACCAGGCAACCACAGATTTGCATTCTCTCACTGTAGGTAAGTTTTGTTTCTTCTTATGTTTCATAAAATGAAACATTATACAGTTTATAGTCTCTGGCTTTGTAAGTCTGTTTTTTTCTCTCAGCATAAAATGTTGGGAATATTTTTAAAATATTGTTATTCAAATAAAAATTTAAATGCAATTTTATTAAACTTTATATTATATTGTATGTATTTATATAATAAAGATATTACAAGAAATATTAAACATTAGATTTCATGTTGTAAAGAACATTTATATAGGCAGAATCTCATTATAATAAAAATAATCACAGCAGAGTGGGATTCAGCCCTCCAAAGTGCCTCCACCTGAATTGTGTTCTTGTCCTAGTTTAAGGCGAGTCGTTAACAAGGGCTTCCTGGGAGCAGGTTTCCTGACTCTCAGCCCATAGGGTTTAAGTTCTTGTCCAAGCATGTCTGTGGAAATTCAAATCCCAATTTTTATTAAAAAGTTTTTTCTTTTTTTTAAATTATTATTCTTTTGTTATTTTTTTAATTTATTTATTATGTATATAGTGTTCTGGGCATCAGATCTCGTTATAGATGGGTGTGAGCCATCATGTGGTTGCTGGGAATTGAACTCAGGACCTCCAGAACAGCAGTCAGTTCTCTTAACCTCTGAGCCATCTCTCCGTCCCGAAAAGTTTTTTCTTTAGATTTACTTTTTATTTTATAAGTATTTTGCTTGCATGCATTTCTGTGTACCAAACGCATGCCTGGTTCCTATGGAGGTGAGAAGAGGGGGTTAGATCCCTTGAAACTGAAATAATAGATGGTGTGAACCACTATGTGAGTGATGGAATGGAACCTGGTCTCTGCGAGAGCAACAAGTGCTCTTAACCTCCAGACATGTGCTGTGCCGTGCACAGGCCCACATGAATGCACACATATGTGCACACTCATACACAAAAATCCATAAATGTCCTTAAAAACATTTTAAGGCCATAATGCATGTATCGGTGGCCTATACTTATGAAGAATCAGGAACATTTGTGTAAGGCCTTCGTTCACACCTCTTCAGTAAGACTCCATGAGGCTAGGTGTGAGGACTCCCTAAGTCTCTATAGGCCCTAGCTGTGCACCAAAATCCAGCAGAGGCAGAGTGCCTCAGCTCCTTCTAGGCTTGTCAGCGTTCACTGCTTGACCAGGTGGAGTTAGTCAGGGTGCTAACAAAAAGTACAGGCTCTTGATTCAGATGGAAGGGTTAAATATATATTCTTCCCTAGGTCCAATTGATAATAAATTTAGATGGGTTTCTTTTTTGTTTGTTTTTGTTTTTAAAGTCAGGGTTTCTCTGTAGCTTTGTAACCACTGCCCAGCTAGATGGTTTCTTAAGAAATCCATGCCATGTGCTTATTTTTTTTTCAAGAAAATTACATCCTTGCCTAGTTCCTCCTCTGGCTTCCCGGGGAAAAGGAGTAAGTGCTGCTGTTGTTTTATCTTGGGAAAGAATGAGAGAGAGCTGTTTTCTAAGACGCAGAGAACTCAGCCAATGGGATCACTGTTGATGATTACTGCTTCATGGAACCTAGGTTTTTTGCACTTTTCCTTAGGTAGAGGAGATCTTCAAGAAGTCACCTTTCCTGGTCCCAGATGACAGTGTTAGCATCATGGATGGGTCTGATGAAGGTGGGACAGATGCTGAAATTCATACTGTGGGGAAAGCGGGTGGAGTCAATGGAAGATCCAGTTAAAGGGACTGGGAATAAGGATCCAGCAGGAAAGAAAGAGGAGCTAAGTAAATAGGGAGGGATAGGGCAAGGAGACAATGCTCTAGACATGAAAATTAGAAATAGAACAGAGAGGAAAATGCTCTAGAATGTAACCTTTTGTTTTTCTCTCCTTTTAGGCATATTAGCTTGGGTTACTGTGAACTTTCTAACAGGTAAATTAAATACATCTTGAAATTTATCTTTTAGCTTTAACTGGCTTTTACAGTTTTTGTTTATTTATTTTTACCAGGAGGGCAAAATCTACTTCTTTCTTCCTATACTGTTCTTTCTTTGTTTTGGGGTTTTGTTTTTTGTTTTGTATTTGTTATTGTTTGGTTTTTTGAGACAGGGTTTCTCTGTAGCTTTGGAGCCTGTCCTGGAACTAGCTCTTATAGACCAGGCTGGCCTTGAACTCACAGAGATCTGCCTGCCTCTGCCTCACTAGTGCTGGGATTAAAGGTTTGTGCCACCACCCAGCTGTGCTTTCTTTAAAAGAAGGGGCTGGGCTGGAGAAATGGCTTAGGAGTTAAAAGCACTTACTGTTCTTTCCATAGACCCTTGGGTACCTATAATTTCAGCTCCAGGCCTCTAACTTCTGTACAGCCACACTCATGTGTATATAACTACAACATACATAATTAAATTGAAAAAAAACATCTTTTTTAAAAAAAGAAGAGGCTAGGGAGGTAAGCTAATTTTATAATCTGCTTTCAAGGCCTCAGCTTCAGCCAACCCTCCGAGTTTACATTAGCCTGCAGCCTCTGGGCTCAGAGAGCAGTCAATTGTGACAAATACCTTTGGTGCACAAAAGCAGAGGAGAACCTCCAGACAGAGTATCTGGATGGCCTGGGTACTCATACCTTGCTCTCATTAACAGGTCAACTGCATGGCCATGGCCAGGATACTGTGGGGACCCTTGACCTGGGGGGTGCCTCCACCCAAATCACGTTTCTACCCCAGTTTGCGGTGAGTCACTTTATTAAGGCCCTGTTGGCAACACACCTAAACAGTATCATGGTGCTCAGAAAGCGGCACCCTGTTTGGAGACGTCAGCTCTACCGTGAATAGGCCACGTGGTCAGTGACTGAAGAAAGTGAACCTTCCCCATCTCTGATTTTGGGGGAGAGGGTTGTGGATAGTGGTACTAAAATCCTAATATAATTGCAGATGCTGAAGTCTTTTTGCTTCTTCTGATTTGCAGAAAACCCTGGAACAAACGCCTAGGGGCTACCTCACTTCCTTTGAGATGTTTAACAGCACTTTTAAGCTCTATACACATAGGTGAGGAGGGGGTAGGGAAGAATAATAGTTTACATTGTGTTACTTTTCATAACTTTTTGTTACTGTGTCTTATCAGTCTCTGAAAGTCTCTGCCAATCTCCTCCCTGTCTACTGAAACCTAAGTCATACACCAAACCTGAGAAACGTAGGAGGCATCCTCAGTTTTGGCCTCAAAAGTATGTGATGTAAGAGTCCGTTTTTCTTTAGATGGGAGCCTGTGGAGAAGGCCCAGAACTCAGCCAGAGCTCCATACCAACTCCTGTGATCTGGGCTCCAATGTTGAGAGAGCAGTCTGGAATTGATAAGAGCTAAACCAATGAGAACTTTTTCTGGGGCTGGTTCTCAGGCTGGACCACCAGGAATGATCTATTCTTTGGCATCACACCTGAGCCATTTACTGCATATCCTTGATCCGGATTCCAGAGTCTTCTTTTATTGGTTACATGAATAATGTGGCACAGAGACATGGGGCAAAGTTTCCATGTTCCAAAGGGAGTCAGAGAATCACGTCACATTTGAAAAAGGCAGCAGAGGGCTGAAAACATCCAGGACAGCCTGAAATCGGTCAATCCTCTATTTTACAGTTACCTGGGATTTGGATTGAAAGCTGCAAGACTGGCAACGCTGGGAGCCCTGGAAACAAAAGGTTTGTCTGAGTACCAGTTCGTGGCGGGAGACAGTGGGAGTGGTGCCAATCGCAGCTCGCCTCTTCCCTTCCTTGGCATTCATTCTGTGGAGCAAAGGGTTGTGTTGCATAATAGACACAAAAATGGCTGGTGCTGTGATGTTTCCGTCACCTCGACAGTGAGGGCTGCTCATATAGGGTAAGAGCCTGTGTCTGCAAGCCTGAAGCTCAACAGTGTGGAGTAGGAACTTGTACAAGCCTTTGTCAGGAAACAAGGTCTGTTGTGTTTGCCAAGTGGAATGACTGAGCAGTTTCCTTTCTGTCTTCATAGCTGGGCACAGACAGAACTGGCTGCAGTCCCAGCTTTGTGATTGGGAACAAATCGTTGACCTTTCTGTGCCCTGATCTTCACCTTAAACATGATTTCGGCATCTGATGCACTCCAGTGCCTTGCTCACAGTAAACTAGTACTGGGATGAGGAGCATGTACCACTTCAGTTTACCAAGTATCTTGAATATCTCAGCTACCAGTGGAGGAATGTTCCTCTATTAAAGAAAGAAACTAACATTACTATTTTCTTTATTTCTTTGGGATGTGATAAAAGTTATAAATCCTGCCAAATGTGCATATGCATGAAAATTTGCCTCTGATTTAGAGAGTTCACCACTACCACAGAGCCTGTGAAGAATCCATGTCACAGGATGCAGCCAAGGAACCAGTTTCATAAGATTGTGAGGCCCAGATCCCTTGATGATTCCTTGCAGCCTGTGTGCTTCTACATTCCCTCTCTCACACGCTTGCTTTCCTGTGTTGTGGTTCTTCCAGGAACTGATGGACATACATTTCGAAGTGCCTGTTTACCAAGATGGTTGGAAGCGGAGTGGATCTTTGGGGGTGTGAAATATCAGTATGGTGGCAACCAAGAAGGTGAGTGGTGTTTCTTCACTGGTTAAAATTCCCTTCATCGTTCATGGTCTGGGAGAGTCCTATAGGAACCTGTTCCAGAGCCCAGAGAGACTTACCATATTGGAAGCACTCACTGTTGATATGTTCAGGGGCCAGCAAGCAAGGCAGCAGGTGCTCTGCATTCTGTTCTGCCCCGTGGAGGAGTTGTAACCTGTCTGGTGCAGCAGTGTGAGTTCCTCTTTCAGATCCAGTGTATGCTTAACAACTTCAGTTACAGTAAAACTCAATTGAGATAAGAATCATTCATTTCAGATACTATAAAAGGCACAGACATTAAAATAAAGGGGACATTGTGTTTTCCCAGAGAAAGAAACAAGCTTTCTGAATAATTGCTCACAAAGACCGTGAAACATAATGACGGCAGTAAGTACCACGGTGGCTGTGGCTGTTTTTGGTGATCACAGGTTAAGGGGAGGAGCTGCCATGGACACGAACAGTGAGGTTGAGGAAGGTCATACATCTTTTTAAAGACTTCTAAAACTCAGCCACCTTTTTTTGGTTTCTTCAGTTAATTTTATATTTTTGTCATTTTTAAGATTTATTATTTTGGCCGGGCGGTGGTGGGCACGCCTTTAATCCCAGCACTTGGGAGGCAGAGGCAGATGAATCCCTGTGAGTTTCAGGTCAGCCTGGTCTACAAGAGCCAGTTCCAGGACAGCTAGGACTGTTACACAGGGAAACCCTATCTCAAAAAACCAAAATAAATAAATAAATAATTTATTTTTTATGTGTATGTATTTTATGTGTTTTGCCTGCATGTTTGTATGAGCACTGTGTGTGCGCCTAATACCCATGGAGGTCAGAAGAGGAAGTCAGGTCCGCTGGGACTGGAGGTGCAGTTAGTTGTGAGCCTTCACATGGTTGCTGTGATCTGAACCCGGGTCCTCTATACGCGCAGGTAGTGGGGCTGGAGAGATGGCTCAGTGGTTAAGAACACTTGCTGCTCTTTCAGAGACCTGGGTTCAATTCCCAGCACCCTCATGATGACTCGTTGGATGCCACTTCTGGACTCTGAAGGCACCAGATAATACGTGGTGCCCAGATAGATATACATGCAGGCAAACACACACGTAAAATAATAACATTTTAAACGAGCAGCCAATGTTCTTCATTAAGTCATGTCTTCAGCCTCCAGCTATTATTTTGTTGTGGAGGAAATTCCTGGGTTAGCTTGTTCAGCAGGTGCAGCTGTTTCTGCTGCTGCTTCTTGTCTTCAGTTTTTCAGACTTAGAGAACCAGCCGCCCCTGCTCTCGTCTTCCTGGAGTGCCCTTTTCTCCCTGAATCTAATAATTAAGAGGGTCTAGTCAGTGCCTTTGTGGACAACTCCTATCTTGAATAACATGGACCCTACAATACCTTCACGCCACCCTCAGATTGTCCAGCTGTTTCCAGAGCTCCTCCTCGTCCTTGCTGTGAAGGTTTAAGCCTAAACCTCAGCCATAGCTATGCTGCGTCCACTGCTGCTGCTCACGGGCTAAGGTGCAGCCACCTTGAGTTCTTGTTCTTCTCTCATTGACCCATCAACTTGCCACAGAAGGTGACTCCCTACATCATTTTTCTCAAGTGATAAACTTTTGCCCTGACAGGGGAGATGGGCTTTGAGCCCTGCTATGCAGAAGTCCTGAGGGTAGTGCGAGGAAAACTTCACCAGCCGGAAGAGATTCGGGGAAGCTCCTTTTACGCTTTCTCCTACTACTATGATCGAGCTGCCGACACACACTTGATTGGTGAGTACCTGCCTGGTTCAGGCCACGAAGGAAGCGAATGGGACTGTGCTGGGGAAGGTCAAGGGCATTAAAGGCTGTGCTGATTGGAGAGATTTACCAACTTTTCCAGTAGTGTTATACTAGCCACTAGAATGGAAAGGTGAAGACACTTGCGGTCTTTGGGAAGTGGGAAATGACCTAACGTTCATAAAGTCTGTCTGTTTGAGGCAGGCTTTTACTATGTAGCCCAGGCTGGCCTGGAATTAGTAGCCATCCCTCTTTCCCAGCCTTCTGAGTAACAGGGCTACACAGATGTGCTTCCATGCCTGATTTTGTATCTGGAGTCTTTTTGCATTTTTTTTCAGTAATGGGGTTGAATCTAGAACCTCTGTACACGCTAGGCAAGTGTTCTACCACTAAATTATATCTCAAGTCCCCCTTTTGAACTTTTCATTTTGAGATAGATCTAAGTTGCCCAAGATGGCTTTGAGACGGATTATGTACCCTGTGTAGGCCTTGTAATTGTGATTCCCTGCCTCAGCCTCTTGAGTAGCTGTGCTACCAGGACCAGCTTGCTTTATATCTTTATTACAAAACTGTATGTTAGCTGTTTTGTAATTATGACTAAATACTAAACGAGAGAGACGTTAGAGGGTTTCTTTTGGATCATGCTTTCAGAAGTTTCGGTCTATGATCAACTTCCTTGTTTCTGCCACAGTAAGGCAGAAAATAATGGTGGAAGAATTTAGAGGAGCAAAGTTGCTTTTACCCCATGGCCACCTGGAAGGAGGGAGAAGCAGAGGGCGGGGCCTAACTAGAGCCCTCAGCTACACCTTCCTCTTGACCCATGTGCCCCACCTAAGCCCCACCTCCAAAAGTTCCCATTACCTCCCAGGTAATGAATACATCTATACCTTAATTGATAAGGACAATCCCCATGGTTCAGTCACCTCTCAGTGATTGGGGACTCCACTGTCTGGAGACCAAGCCTTCAACACATGAGCCTATAGGAGACATTTCCTATCCAAATCATAACAAATTGAAATACAGTAAATGCACGTATTGCTTTCATGGTTTGCCAAACCTTGCCATGTATGTACCTGTGAAACCTCCCCACATGCAAGATATTATAGCCATCACCCCAATTTCCTGATCTTTTAGGGTTTTTTCCTTTTCATAGAAGTTGGGCTTTTTTAGGTGTGAGTACACACATGATCTGTCATGACTCAAGAGAGATGATTTGCTACCCTGCTTACTATAGTTTCTAATTCATATGTATGTGCCTGCATGACTTTCAAAGTACCGTGTGTGTAGGTGTCTACAGAGGCCAGAGGGCATTGAATCCTGTGGGACTAGAGTTTCAAGTGCTTAGGAGCCATCTGATGTGAGTTCTGGAATTGAACCTGAGCCCTCTGCAAGAGCAATAAGTTCTCTTAACCACTGAGCCATCTCGCCAGCCCCTCCACCCCAACTAAACTTTTAAATGAACCTAGATTTTTATTGTGGTTAAATATATAATACAAAATGGGTAACATGCATTAAGCATCAATAAACAAAATAGACAATGTGGATTTGTATTGTACAGATATCATGTTTATGTATCAGTCTTTTATGTTGGGAAGTGTATATTTCTAGTTTTTATTACTATATGTCACTGGGATAAATGTCCTTGTTTCCTTGACATTTTGACACTAGCTATTCTGCTTCATTTTAGATTATGAAAAGGGCGGTGTTTTAAAAGTTGAAGATTTTGAAAGAAAAGCCAGGGAAGGTAAGTGTTAGGAAATTCTTGAAATTGGACTGTTAAGTGTGGCTGCCAGTGCAGGGCCTCCTGGGACTTCTGAGCTTTCCAGTCTGCTGGAAGATGCTTTAGGCACTGTCAGAAGAATATGGGGATCTAAGACACTTCAGGGAAAGAAAAACAAACTGTTTTTCTGAGACAAAGTCTTACATAGCCCAGGATGGCCTCACATTTGTGGTGTAGCTGAGGATAACCTTGGATTCTGTTTTGGTTTCATTTGGTTTGGTTTTTTAAGACAGGGTTTCTCTGTAGCTTTGGAGCCTGTCCTGGAATTCGCTCTGTAGACCAGGCTGTCTTCAAAATCACAGTGATCCACCTGCCTCTGCATCCTGAGTGCTGGGATTAAAGGCATGCACTACCACTGCACCCTGAATTTTGACCCACCTCTCAAGTGCTAGGATTATAGGCATGAGTTGCTGTGACTGACTTATGTGATAACAGGGATGGAACCCAGGCTCATGAGGGCTAGGCCGTCATTCTAACACCCAAGCTAGCTATATATACATGCAGCCTGGCCTGCTCACTCGCTCTCTCTCTTCATTCTAACAACACCTGAGTTAGCTTTACACTCAGCCTGACATATATATATTCTCTCTCTCTCTCTCTCTCTCTCTCTCTCTCTCTGTGTGTGTGTGTGTGTGTGTGTGTGTGTTTTAGAATAGGTTTATCAAGCCGGGCGATGGTGGCGCACGCCTTTAATCCCAGCACTCGGGAGGCAGAGGTAGGCGGATCTCTGTGAGTTCGAGACCAGCCTGGTCTACAGAGCTAGTTCCAGGACAGGCTCCAAAGCCACAGAGAAACCCTGTCTCGAAAAACAAAAAAACAAACAAAAAAAAAAAGAATAGGTTTATCAGCAGTAATAAAGAACTGAGCACCTTGAGAGCACAAATCTAAAATACAAATGATCTTTTCCTATGGCTACAAGAGAGAGTTACATTATAGTTTCCTGTCCGCTGGGCCTCAGTTGAGTGACTACAGTATGTCATAGAAATTTGAAAAGCAGGTTGCTGAAAGTATAGTTCAGGTGTTGAGAACTTGCTTCGTATGTGCAAGGCCCTGGGTGTGATTTCCAGCAGAGCCTTGCCCCTGCTTACCCCACACCCATAACTGGTAAATAAGCTAAGATGCACGTAAATTTTTTTTTTTTTTTTTTTTTTTTTTTTTTTTTGGTTTTCCAAGACAGGGTTTCTCTGTGTGACAACAGTGTCTGTCCTGGAACTCATTCTGTAGACTCGGCTTGGCTTGAACTCACAAGATCCACCTGCCTCTGCCTCCTGAGTGCTGGGATTAAAGGCATGTACCACTACACCCAGAGAATAGATGATTTCATACTGGAAATGTGCAGGTTCTAAAGAAACTGTAGTTTTGTAGAAGTAACCGCTACACAGATGTATACAGTACACAGTATACAGTAGACAGGCTAGTCTACAGGAAGCCCAGGTACCAACTAAATGGAGACATTTTTGCTTACTCAACCCTACCTACAGCTCGAGAAGACCCTACATCTCTTTGTTGCAAACTTGAATGCTGTTTTCTCTCTCACTTTCAGTGTGTGATAACTTGGAGAGCTTCACCTCAGGCAGTCCTTTCCTATGCATGGATCTCAGTTACATCACAGCTTTATTAAAAGATGGCTTTGGCTTTGCAGATGATACCCTCTTAAAGGTAAGAAAGAGCACTGGATCTTACAGTTGTCTCTCTTGTTGCTTTGGGAAAGAACTTGTCTGGTGGTCAGAGCAGCAGGTGTTCTTGTTTGGGCTGAAGCCAGGGCACCCTGCTAGATACCAAAAACACATGAAACACCTGGATGCAGTTATAGTCTCTGAGGCACGGTGTCCTGTGGACACAAGACAGAAAGACTTGAATATATTCAAGTCACATTGTTTATGAAACCAATTTAGAACTCAGAAGAAGCATTGAGAAAGAGATGGGGAAATAAATATCCAGAATACAGTACAAGCCAGTTGGAAGGGCTGTGCTTCCTGAATCCCAGTTCCTCATCTTGACTTTGTGTGCCCTCACCTGCCACTGGTTTATGGTTGTTAGAACTTAAGCTGAAGTTTGATCAAGAGAGCCCAAGATAAAAAGCAGCTGGGGTCATCATCACACACACTTGTATTCAGAGGCTGTGAGGCAGATAAACCTTGCCTCATCATGCACAATGATGTTAACACATATGGCTGACTTCAATGTCTCAAGCATATATAGTGTATCCTGTATATTCTACGTCTGCTGGATACTGAGTCAAATCTCTTCTAACAGCTGTATGCAGCTTGAGGACAGAGATAACATTTTAACCATCTTTGTAAATATAATTTGCAATCAATAGTGGTATAGAAAGTAAGAAGATAAATGATATGAAATTCATAAGATAAATTTTAGAGGGGTTGGAGAGATGGCTTAGTGGTTAAGAGCACTTGCTGCTCTTGCAGAGGACCCAGGTTTGGTTCCAGGACCCACATGGTGGCTCACAACCACCTGTGACTACAATTCCAGGGGATCTGATGCTGCCTTCTGGTCTCGGTGGGTACTAGGTACACACATGGTACACATACATACTTGTAGCTGAAACACTGATACACATAAAATATACAACTTTTGTTTGTTTGCTTTATTTTTGTTTTTCAAGACAGGGTTTCGCTGTGTAGCTTTGGAGCCTGTCCTGGAACTTGCTCTGTAGACCAGGCTGGCCTCAAATTCATATAGATCTGCCCACCTCTGCCTCCTCAGTGCTGGGATTAAAGGTGTGCGCCACCACCGCCTGGCTACAGTTTTATTCTTTTTTTTTTTTTTTTGGTTTTTTCGAGACAGGGTTTCTCTATGGCTTTGGAGCTTGTCCTGGAACTAGCTCTGTAGATCAGGCTGGTCTCAAACTCACAGAGATCCGCCTGCCTCTGCCTCCCGAGTGCTGGGATTAAAGGCATGCGCCACCATCGCCCGGCTTATTCTTTTTATTTATGTATTTAGTTAGTTTTTTTCGGCAGAGGGTTTCTATGTGTAGCCCTAGCTGATCTAGACCTAGCTTTGTAGACCAGGCTGGCCTTGAACACACAAAAATTAACCTGCCTCTCCTTCCCGAATGCTGGGATTAAAGATGTATGCCACCACTGCCCAGCTACAATTTTTTTTTAAGTTTTTTAATTTTTTTTTAAAGATTTATTTTATATATATAGTATTCTGTCTGCATGTGTGTTTGCATGCCAGAAGAGGGCAGCATATCTCATTATAGATGGTTGTGAGCCGCCATGTGGGTGCTGGGAATTGAACTCAGGACCTCTGGAAGAGCAGCCAGTGCTCTTCACCACTGAGCCATTCTCCAGCCCTTAAAGTTTATGTTTTAGAGGGTTGGAGAGATGTTAGTTTGCTGTTTGTCTCAGAAGTTACAAACATTGCTGCTTGCCTTAATAAGGGTTTCTGTTGCTGTGAGGAGACATGACCGCTGCAACTCATAACCAAAACCATTTAATTGGTTGGCTTGCTTACAGCTCAGAGGTTTAGTCCATTATCATGGAGGGAGGCATGGTGGTATGGAGGCAGACCTGGTGCTACAGGAGGAACTGAGAGTTCTCATATCTTGACCACAGGCAACGTGAAGTGAGCATGTATGAGACCTCAGAGTCCACCTCCACAGTGACACATTTCCTCCAACAAAGCCACACCTCCTAATAGTGCCACTCCCTATGAGCTTAGGAAGGCCAGTTACATTCAAACTAGTCTTCCAGAGAACTACTTCCTAGTATCTAGTAAGGTGGCTCACAACTACCTGTAACTCCAGCTCCAAAAGATCCAACACCCCTGGCCTGCACAGGTACCTGTACTCATGGGCACATACCCACAGGCAGACACATCTACACATAATTTTAAAAAATAATAAACTGAACAATCTTTTTTATAATTATATTGTTATTTATTATTTTATGTGTATGAGTGTCTTGCCTGTGTGGTCTGTGCACCCACCTCTCATATCTGGTGCCCATAGATACAGAAGAGGGTGTCAGATTCCCTGGAACTGGAGTTCCAGACAATTCAAGTTGTCATGTGGGTGCTGAGAATTGAGCCTGGGTCCTCTGGAAGAGCAGCCAGTACCCTCCTTAACCACTGAGCCACTTCTCCAGCCCCTGAAAAATCTTTTTTAAAAAAGGATCTATTGTACAACAAATAGTTTATTACTGATGAAGCAAGTCTGCACGTGCTGAAATTAATGAGGAAGGAGAGGAAGGAGTTTTACGAAAACAATTTGATAAACTTTTGTACAGAAAATTGCCCCTTTCTGTAATTGAGGGACCAGATCTAAAGTTTTGTCCAAAGTAATAAAGGCATTGAGCTATCAAGACAGTCTGGTGTTGAATGCCTCAGCTGGTTTTTATTAATGCTTAAGGCACAGTTGCTTACATGGACTCCAAAAGCTGAGAATGTGCTTTTCTGTCCTAAATACAGTCCCAGCTCTTGCCAGTTCCCTTCCTACCACATCCATGAACATTACATTCTGACTGCCTTGTCAGATTAGGGAGCATCCAGAGCCTTTTCTGACACAACCTCTGTAAAAATTTCTGGATAGTACGGCTTCCTGGGCCTGAAGTTGTCAGGCATGAGCATGCTAGGTATAGGGCAATTAGGGCTGGGCCACAGGAGTGCTCTTCATAGGGGTTAGCTGTTCAGAGGCCATCCTTGCTAATGTTAAAAACTGGATGAAAATGTGAAGACTTTTTCTTCTTCCTTAACAGCTCACAAAGAAAGTGAACAACATAGAGACGGGCTGGGCCCTGGGGGCCACCTTTCACCTGCTGCAGTCTCTTGGCATCTCCAGCTGAGGCTACCGTGTCCTCTGAAGCCTGCATTTCTCAAAAACTTTGTTTTACAAGAAGGAGAGGACTCAGGCATTTTCTGAACAATTTGGGGAAAGCCTGGACTGAAACCCATTAACTGGCTTTATTGGGAGGGAAGGGGTTTTATAGATGAGTCTTGCCCTTGAGCCTCGTGATTTGGGCTTGCTTAATTTTGCACATCTACTGTGAACAGCTCCCTAACCACTTGGCAGGTGCACAGCTGGCACAAGAGTATAAATCTTTTGAGATTTTTTTGTATGTCAGAGTCCTGTGAAGAAAAAAGAATAGGCTTGGAACTCCATGTTAGATTGAGAGTTCAGAGACAAGTCCCTGGGAACCAAAGAAAAATCTTGGAGTGCCTCATTCCTTTGAGTGTTTCAGTCTTTTGCTTATAAGCTAAATTAAGCTGACCTACTGAAGTCCCATAACCTATCAATACTGGTACTTTTCCTTCTTCCCACCCTTACACATTCCCTACCCTAAAACCCAAGGTGAGAACTATCTGGCTTTGCATTTCCATCTGTAACTCAAAGGGAAAAAAGACACTATATTAGAATTTGTGTGATCCTATGACACAATTTAGAGCTTAGAGTGGCCCTGGGTATTTTATTTTTAGACAGAGGTCATGTTACGTTGCTCTGGGTAGCCTGGTACTGTGTAACCCAGGTTGCCTTGAATTGTCAATTCTCCTGCCTCAGCCTCGAGTCTTGGGTTACAGGTGTGAGCCGTCATGCTCATGTCATGTTAAATCTCACAAGATGAGCGTGCACCTCTCACCTGTGCCGACTAGAGCTGTGAGGGGGGCCGTCGCAGACCACGACTGCTGCTCGGTTACCACCTTATTCTCATGGTCCTAAACTTAGCATCTTTCTATTTCTGTGAAATACAACTGCACCCTAGTTTTGGTCTGTGGTTAGAAGTTAGTGTGTGTGCTGTTGAATCTAAAGATAACCAACGCTTTCAGTTTGTCCTTTTGGGGGTTGGGGTGTGGAAAGTGCTGGAGATTGAACCCAGGACTTTTTGCATGTTAGGCACAATGTGCTACCACTATGCTTTATAGTAGTGTTTTCTTGCCTGGGCCCTTGCTGATTTTAGCCACTGTTTTCTGAATTTATTGTCTCCCTCAGGATTTCATATCCTCTTACCACTGATACCCAACATTTGATTTGATTGATTCTTTTGGCCCATGTCAGAACAAGGGCTACCATTTCTAGAGAACCATGTTTTTTCTCTCGGGCCACTGTTTTGAGGTTGAACACAGATCATCATGCGTGCTAAGCATGGGTGCTCTACTACATTATAAAGTCATTATCTTAAGGTTTTCTGCCAGGCAGTGGTGGCGCACACTTTTAATTCTAGCACTTGGGAGGCAAAAGCAGGCGAATCTCTGAGTTCAAGGCCAGCCTGGTCTATAGAGCAAGTTCCAAGACAGCCAGGGCTACAGAGAGAAACTCTGTCTTGAAGGAAAAAAAAAAGTCATGTCGTTTCTTGTGTGACTATCATTGGTTTGCCTCCTACTCGGTTCTGGACTTGAAACATTGCCTGCTGCTCAGCAGCTCTGTCATAGCATTTCCCCTTCCTCTTCGCTTTCCAGTTTTCAGCTCCCCTAACTTGACATTTTCAGTCACCCCCTCTTCCTTCCACTCTTCATAAAGGATGTGACTATGCGTGGCTTCCCCAAGGAACCGTCTTTTTGAAGCCATTACATTGAGTCAATAAGTATTACCATCTGCTGTGTATAAATAGTAGGCAAATTTGTATATTCTTCCCAATTTTAGGGGTTTGTTTTGATTAAATGTGGAATTTCTTCAGACTTTGATACTAAGAGTATGTGTCTTGAGACTAGATTTCACCTTGGACTCCCAAGTAGCGAGACTATAGGAAGGCATGCTGAGCCTGGCTCAAACTTCCATTACTAAGTTCACTTTCACTTATTGCCTTCTTCAAAACAATGCGCACCAGGCAGTGGTGGTGCACGCCATTAATCTCAACACTTGGGAGGCAGAGGCAGGCAAATCTCTGAGTTTGAGGCCAGCCTGGTCTCCAGAGCAAGTTCTGGGACAGCCAGGACTACACAGAGAAACCCTGTTTCAAAAGAACAAATAAACAACAATAAACCCCATAATGTTCATACATAATGAAATAGATTTCCCACACTGGAAATAGCCTGAAGGTAAAATCCAGTTTCCTATGGAATGCATACTCAGCGTCTCTCGCAGGCTTCTCCATCCAGCTTAAGTGTTTGCCTCTCCATCTCGGATGTCACTGTTTACAGCTTCATTAGCTGAGAGCTACCTCCTTCCCTTCAGTCAGCCTCTGCTTTCTCCTAGTCCAAAGCCTTTCAGACTCTTTGAAGATAACTACATTTTTATGACTTTTAAAAAGACGCAGCATACTTTGAAAGTATTAGACAAGGCATAGTCTACTAAATGCTCCCACAGTTGAGAAAAGCCAATCTGCTTCCCCAAGAGTAAACTTTACAGCAGGCTTTACGGCACAGGCCTGTAATTGGAGCTGAGGCAGGAGGATTACAAGTCATAGGCTTTCTATGTGGCCAGTTTGAGGCCGCTGGGCAACTCAATAAGGCATTCAAGAAGTTTTAGAAGGGATAGGGGTTAGAAGATTTCAGTGGGGCTGGAGATGGCTCAGAGGTTAAGAACACTGGCTGTTCTTCCAGAGGTCCTGAGTTCAATTCCCAGCAACCACATGGTGGCTCACAGCCATTTATAATGAGATCTGGTGCCCTCTTCTGGAATGCAGGCATATATGCAGGCAGATTTAAAAAGATTTCAATGCATACATAGATTTAAAAAGATTTCAGTGGCAAAGCATATTTAGCATGTCCGGTCCTAGATTCAAGCCCAGCACTAAATAAACAAAGTGAACAGCTCCAGCAGACAAGTGAGTTCCTGGTCTTTCTACCACAGGTGGCGCATGAAGCCTCAAGATAGGCACCCTAGCTGTGTATTGTCCTGTAGACACCTTCTGCTACCTTGGAAACTGCCAAAACTCTTAAATAGAAGGACTCTCACCTCAGAAATTTATCTGCATACATCCATCTTGACCAGAGAGCCTGCAGATTTACCTCTTTGTTCTTTTAAATACAATTTGGAGTCTTACATTTTCTTAGGAAAAATGAAAGACAAGGGCATTTTTTTGTTTCAAACAAGAGTTTCTCTGTTAGCCCTGGCTGTCCTGGAACTCCCCTGAAGACCAGGCTGGCCTTGAACTCATAGAGATCAGCCTGCCTCTGCCTCTCTAAGTACTGGAATTAAAGGCATGTGCCACCACTGCCAGGCAGCATGGGCCTTTTTTACTAAGTGGGTCCTGTGTGTTCTGATGTTGTTGACAAGTTCCATCTCTGTGAAAGTGTAAATATAATTTAAATACCTGCGATGTGGTCTCGTGTGTGGTGGATGCTGTGTGTATTATCACTATTATATGAAGAACATCTGAGTCACAGATGTCCTTACAAAGTGTGCCTTAAAGTTCTCATCTCTTTAACTTTTTTATTTTTCTGTATATTAGTCTGTATTCTTATCTGGGCTACCTTTTTGGAAAAGATGACCTCTGGCCATCAGTTTTTCCCAGCAGCTGCCATCTTTTATTCTGGGGACATTTTCTGGATTTACTGACATCATATTACTTTGTACTAAGTTTTCTACATTGTTTAAAAAGCTGTCCTGTTGCAGTAGCTATCTTATCCCTCCCAAAGTTATTCCAACAGTTCAGCTTGATTGAAAGGAGACTTTCTTATTTCATTTTTTCAAAGCAGACTTCTGAGCAAGACATTCTGTCCAGTGTTCTTATCTAGCACAGGTAAGTTCTCTTCTGGAGGCCTCTCTGGTGCTGTGCAGTCAGTACATCAAAACCCCAAGTCAGAAACCACTCCATTAGCCACCTGCCAGCACACATGGACAGGCTGTCCCTGAGGCCTCTGCAGCTGTGTGTGCAGTAAGGTTATTTATTGTTTTTAATAACAGAATCAACAGAAAATGACATCACAGAGAGGAGTGTAAACAAAACTGAAATGTGTAAGAAAGTCTAAAGCATTAATAAGACCTGGCTGTTTCTTATCTTCACTTCCCTCTTAAAGTCCAGTGTACTTTGTCAAAGCAATGTGTATTTAATTGGCATGCCAGTGTTAATTTTAAAACAATCTAACAAAAATGTATCAAGTATTTCTGATTCTTTGTCAAGATAATTGTATAAATTTATGACCTGTATTAAAATATTCTGTTTAGAAAGTATTCTTACTAAGTGAAATGAGGAATATACCAGCTCAGTAATTTGTTTGTTTAGTAATAAAAAGCTCCTTTCAATCAAATAGTTTTCCTTTGGGTTTTTTTCCTTAAATATCACTCTTTTTTTTTTTTTTTTTGGCTACACAGGCCCATTAAGCAGAAGAGGAAAACAGACACAAGTTCTAGTGTAAATTTATGAAGCCATCTTGGAAACGCACTCTGATGGTCACAGGGCTAGATGGTCTCTGTCATCAACATCATCTCCAGGAGAGGAGCACTCACTTGCTGGCAAAGGCCATTATCTGTTCCTGGAGAAAGAGGAAAGGTGAGGACAGGTGACTTCATTATGAAATAACCAAGGAGACGAAGGGAGAAACATGGCAGAGGTTCCATACAGACACTCCTAGGAGTCCCTGCTTTTTTTCAGCTCTAAGAGCAGGGTTGGCAGGGCTCCCCTAGGACTGGCGTTACGGATGGTTGTGAGCCACCATGTGAGTGCTGGGGATTGAACCAAGGTTCCTCTGGAAGAATAGCAAGTGTTTTTCGCTGCTGATTCATTTCTCCAGCCATCAGCCTGTATTCTTAAGTCCTTCCTACGTAGTTCAAGTTACTGCTTAGATGTGGGCACCACAAACCCAGCAGGTCCTTTTATTCATAACCAGCTAGGAAGGTAGACCAGGTATGGTGGCTGGGCATGGCAGCACATGCCTTTAATCCCAGCACACAGCAGGCAGAAGCAGATGGGTCACTATGATAGATAGATATAGATTAGATAGATAGATAGATAGATAGATAGATAGATAGATAGATAGTCTGGTATACCTAGCCAGTTTCAGGCTAGCCAGGACTACATACAAAGTTTCTATCTCAAAAATAACTACAATAAAAAATGTTATAGGCAAGAAAATTAATTCAAAGAAATTTAGAATGTCTGCAATCCTTTCTCAGTAAAGAAAAATCTTGGAGAGCGACAGGGGCCACTTACTTTGAGAGGAGACACTGCGTTAGTTGCCTGCAAGCCCCATGTCCTGAGCAGCACCAGTGGAGTGGCACTGGTTGAATAGAGCCTTTTCAACAGGTCAGTGGCAGCCAGAAGAGCAGTATTGTGACGCTGCCTGTCTGTTTCATAGCCTGTGAGGTGGCTCATGGAACCTGGAGTTAAAAAGCAGGAACAAAGGTCAAACCCTACTCAGCAGTAAAAGATCTCTTCCTCCTCCCAGTAGACACTACCACATCTTGCTGCCTAGGGCAATTTGGCAACCCTGACCTTTACATGATGTCAGGGTACCCGAATCCTTACCTAAGTCCTTCCCATTGAAGGCCGCTGTACTGAGATGACGAACCAAGCTGGAAATATCCCCGAAGCCCATGTTGACACCTTGTCCTGCAAGTGGATGGACTCTGTGGGCTGCATCACTAAGAATAAAGCAGCATTCAGATGTGGCCTCCAGCACCAGAGAAAGGAGTGGCCTGCTCCATTATGGTCTTACCCGATGAGTGCCACCCGAGGCCGGACGTACTCAACAGCATGTCCCAGTCCCAGAGGAAAGAGGGCTCTGCTTTTAGCATCCACCTTGGCTATACTTGGGGGCAACTGACGAGCTGAGACCCTAGTGGGCTTCAGGAGGCTGACGACATAGTGCAACATGGTGCTGGCCGAGTCGACGAAGTCTGTGTGGTTAGCATCACTCCACTGCATGCCATCAGCCCCCAAATGGTGGAATTGGTTAGTGACTAGTAAACAGCAAAGGCCTCAACCCCTCTATATAACCAACGCTAAAGGTAATGCTGCTTAACATGCCTAAACGGGTCTTGTTCCTGAGTGACAAGCCCCTTAAAGCACATGCAAAACTCCATTTCCTGGTATTCCCCACGGGTTTTATCTCTGGGTTGGCCCCTGACTAGAACTGAACTTTACCTTTCACTAGTCCCCAGCAATAGCCACAAATTAGCTACAGTGAAGCTCACCTTATGTCTCTAAGCTTAGGTAAAGCGTAGAATGCCCTCCCACCTCTATCTCCCGGGAACACCTTTAAACCCTCCTCTCTGTCCGCATGCTATGCTCTGCATGCAGACATCTGTTACTGCACTTGTCATTCTCACTTGACTGTGCGTCCTGGAGCCAATACATAGAAGGCTCTACCCGAAAGGTGCTGTGCAGCACAGGAATATACAGTGCATGAGCCACTAACCCTGGCAGGCCTTCACCAGTTTCCGTTGTTTTGCATTTCCTGTATGCCCTCACAAAATCTAAACCAAGGACTGTACTGCCTAAGGGGAACCTGCACGATGACTCCTTTTCCCCGTCCCTCCAGTAGCTGGACAGGTGATACTCACAAAGGCAGAGTTGATGGCATCCACAAACTCTTCCTCATCCATGCTGACCAGCTCTGCGGCATGATCATGGGATGTGGACCAAACCAAGGAACTCAAGGTATCTGAGAGCTGTATCAAAAGAAGAGCATCAGCCTGGTGTGGTGGCGCATGCCTGTGAGCACAGCATACAGCAGGAGGAGTGTCAAGCCTACCTGGGATATAGCCCTCAAAACAACAACAAAAACCTGCCTCTTCTGAACTTGGGTGTTTTCAATCATAAAGGAAACCAAGGAAAGGAAGCCATGCACGTATGGGACATAGTTCCTTTAAACCAGGCTGAAGGAAAGTGAAGTTCCAAAGACTGAGGCTGGCTACCTTTGAGCTAACTGGCCGAAAGATCTCTTACCGGGAGCAGAGCAATAGGCCCTGAAGGGAGAAATCTTTGCCAGGCTACGTTGTTTTCTGTGGCCTAGAATGGAAAGAAAGTTCTTATAAGGGGTACTGAGTGCTAAGGAAAGGTCCCCAGATGGCAGCTCCAGAGCTTACCTCTGATAAATGCAGAGTGGCCACCACAGCAGACTGGTCATAGGTCCAGCTAACATTCTGGATCCCAGCAGCTCGTCTTACTCCTGAGTTGTGCCCATCAGCACCAATCTGCGTGGACACAAGGGCCTACTAAGTCTTACAACCACTTCAAAATCAAACTGCTCCAGTGTCTTTGCCCTCCTGTCTAGTCCAGGTGGAATGGGAAACCATAAGGCTTGTCTCACTCACAGCCCTACAAGGACAGCCCTACAAAATGGGACCTCAGCCTGGGACCAAAAGTGGCTATCTGAACCAAGAGGTGCCAGCAACGGCCATATTCAACCAGTTTTTTGATATGTGAACTAGAAAAGACAGGCACAGAGTGGCCACTGCAGTTGAAAAAAGAAAAAGTTGGTGAGCAGAAAGAGAAACAAGAAAATGAGAGCCTCAAGGAGATGAATGGCACTGGGACTTCAGGGACAGAAAAAAGAACATGGCCCAAGTTTCCAACACTCCTGGGAGGCCTGGTTATCCTATCCTAAGGTGGCCCATGAGGTTGCTTCACATAAAGCAACCATCTAGCTCAGAATGCCTTGAATAGGGGGTAGTTGTTCTATAAAGAATAACTTAAAATCACCCCATGGTGTCCATCTGGCAATACAGACTCTAGAATGTAAGGTATGGACATGCAAGACCCCTGACAAAGCAAGAATCTTCAACTACCAACAGTTTGGTCTGGAGGGTGCTGCCATCACCTAGGGTAATATGGACCCAAGGGCTGGAGTCTGTCATGGAAAACGGGGCAGGCCAGGCATAGTCAACAGCTTTGCTCCTGTAGAGAACCCTCACACGGTCTGCAGAAGGCAAAAGAGAAAGAAGCAAACCATCAGAAAGGTGGGTAAGGACTGAGCACAAACTTTAAGTGCCGAAAAGCAAGGCCCCTGGATAGCCCTGTCCTGTCATTTACTGGCAAGCAAGAAAAGCAAGAACTAAAAGTAAGTCAAATCATTAACACTCTGGCCCTGGAACTGTTGGTAAAGAGCAGAAGCCAGAGAACCATTCAATGTCAGAAAGATAACAGGGGGTGGGGTGGGATGGGGGTAAGGGGAGAAGGGGAGAGAAAACGGAGAAGGGGAGGATGGGGGAACTTGGGGAAAAAGGATGATTGGGATAAAGGTGTAGGGTTAAGACAGCCCCTTGAGGGGGCGGGGTTTGCCTTGGGCGAATGCCTACAGATAAATGGGCGCGAGGGAGGCGGCTCCGTCTCTTTTTCCTTCCTACCTCCTGTTCCATGCGGGAACTTCGGTTCCGTAAGTTTATCATTAAAGTGTAAATATTCTTTAATATCTGCATTGCATTTATTTACGCTGATACATAAAGGAAGATTGGATAGGGGAGCACGGAAGCACAATTCTTAGTTAAGGGAGCCACCCTGGGGTTGGCAAGAGACTTGAACCTAGAGTGGCTCCCAGGAGCCCAAGGCGATGTCCCCAGTTAGTTCCTTGGGCAGCTGAGGATAGGGAACCTGAAATGACCCTATCCTATAGCAATACTGACGAATATCTTGCATATCACCATAGAACCTTCATCTGGTGATGGATGGAAATAGAGACAGAGACCCACACTGGAGCACTGGACTGAGCTCCCAAGGTCCCAATGAGGAGCAGAAGGAGGGAGAACATGAGCAGAGAAGTCGGGACCGCGAGGGGTGCACCCACCCACTGAAACAGTGGAGCTGATCTATTGGGAGCTCACCAAGGCCAGCTGGACTGTGACTGAAAAAGCTTGGGATAGGGCCGGACTCTCTGAACATGGCGAACAATGAGGGCTGATGAGAAGCCAAGGAAAATGGCACGGGGTTTTGATCCTTCTTAATGTGCTGGCTTTGTGGGAGCCTAGCCAGTTTGGATGTTCACCTTCCTAGATATGGACAGAGGGGGGAGGACCTTGGACTTACCACAGGGCAGGGAACCATGACTGCTCTTTGGACTGGAGAGGGAGGGGGAGAGGAGTGGGGGGAGGGGGAGAAGGGTGGGAGGAGGGGGAGGGAAATGGGAGGCTGGGAGGAGGCGGAAACTTGTTTTTTTTTTTCCTTTTCTCAATAAAAAAAAAAAAAAGATAACAAGAGCAAGTACTAGCTGGGCACAGTGGAGCATGCCTTTAATTCTAGCAGATGCAGGCACATCTTTTTGAGTTTGAGGCTAACCTGGTCTACAGAGGGAGTTCTAGGCTAGCCAGAGCTACACAGTGAAATCCTGACTCAACATCCCCATCCCCAACACAAATGAGAAAAAGAGAGAGAGAAAATTCTAGCATAGGCTCTCCTCCTAATTTTACTGTGTCTGAACGGGGGAGGGAGGGGGGAGGCATGATGACACGACACACACACACCACAGGCTGAAATATGTGTTATACCTGAAAAGATTTTCTTCTTGGGTGCTAAATTATAGTTAGATGAAGAAATAAACTCTGGTGCACAATCTCAGGGGACAATGGTAACAGATGACAGTGATGTAGGTAGATCAGTGGAAAAGCACGTGTGTAGCATGATATAAATCCTAGGTTCAGTCCCAAGATATAGACACAAACAGACAGACAGAGAGACAGACAGATACACACACACAATGATTCTGGTGATGGAGCCTAAGGCCTTACACACTAGACAACTGATCTACCATTGAATATACCAGCAGTCCAAAATTTTGTTTTGTTGTTTCTCAAGACAGGGTTTCTTTGTGTAACCCTGGCTGTCCTGGAAACTCACTCTGTAGACCAGGCTAGCCTCGAACTCAGACATACACCTGCCTCTGCTTCTTAAATGCTGGAATTAAAGGTGTACACAACCACTGCTGCCCAACCCTAAATTATTTTTAAAAGCTAGATGGTGGCCCATTACATAAATGAATGAACAATATCCCATATAAAAAAAATTAACAAGCTGGGCATGGCAGCACATGCCACTAATTCTCGTATTTGGGAACTTGTGGCAGGAAGACCAGGAGTTAAAGGCTAGCTGGAACTACATAGCGAGTTTAAAGTCAGTCTAAGCTACATGAGATCCTGTCTTACAAGACTCAAAGAAAAAAGGCAAAACTCATATAAATTGCTTCCAGTTTTTTTCTCACTTGAATCCCAAGATATTATACATAGAGGAATTCATATATCTCCTAAGTAGTTTATATCCAGAACATGCATAGAACTCTTCTAACTAAAAAACAAAAAAATGACCCATTTTTAAATGTGCAAAAGATTTTCAACTTTCAACAGATATTTCTCTAAAGCAAACATACAAATAATCACAGGATGTTATTAACGTTATTACTCACTAAGTAAACAGATTCAATGTGCAAAAGTATAAGGGTCACACTAGAACCACTGTAAGTTAAAAGTATAATGGGCCACACTAGGGCGCTGTAAGTTAAAAGCCAGCACTGAGAAGGATGTGGAGAAAGTGAGCCACTTAAACCACGGGAAGGTGAATGATGCATCCTCTAGAAATGTCTGGCGATGCCTGAGAATGTTAAATACAGAATTATGATGTGACTATGCAACTCCACTTCCAAGTGAGGAAAACACATGTTGCTGGGCCTGCTTCTGCAAGCTACTTGTGAGGCCGAGACAAGCAGTTACAACTTAGAACCTGCCTAGACTACAGAGTGAGTTTAAAGCCAGCCTGAGCAACCTGCTGAGACCCTGTCCAAAACAGAGAGCTGGGAAAATAGCTGAGAGTAGAGAGATTGCCTAGCTTTTAAGACCCTGCATTCAATCCTGCGTCCTGGAGAACACATAAAACAACAAACCAGCCATCACACAAACCAGTCACAACATTATTCACCAACTGCCCAAAGTGGAAAAACACAAATTCTATTAACTGATGAATAAATAAATACAATTTGATATATCCATACAATAAAACATTATTAGCGATAAAAAGAAGAGTATTACTAGTTCACGCTGCAACGTGACTGACTCTAACCCCTAACCCAGTGTGGCTCACTTCTGAGCTGCTGAGAACAGACAGCTCTAGAGAGATAAAAGCAAAGGTTCAGTAAGAATGAGGAATGACAATAAGGTATGAGGTTTCCTTCTGAGTGATGGAGACGTTCTAAAGGATCCTGAGGCAATAGATGCACAACTCTATAGATACACTGAAAGTCACCGAGTTACACAGGTAAAATGGGAGAATTTTATGGTATTCAAGTTTATTCAAATAAAACTGGTAAAAAGAAAGGTAAATCCTAAAAGAATCCTCCCCCCCTTTTTTTCTTGAAAAGACCTCACTATGTATCCCTGATTGGCCTGGAATTCACTATTCAGTCCTGGCTGGCTTCAAATGCCAGACCTGCCTGCCTCTGTCTCCCGAGTGCTGGCATTAAAGGTGTGCCATCGGGCTATTCAGTATCTGTAAAAGGGCCTTTTTTTTTTTTTTTTGGTTTTTCGAGACAGGGTTTCTCTGTGGTTTTGGAGCCTGTCCTGGAACTAGCTCTTATAGACGAGGCTGGTCTCGAACTCACAAAGATCCGCCTGCCTCTGCCTCCCAAGTGCTGGGATTAAAGGCGTGCACCACCACCGCCCGGCGGGTCTTTTCTTCTGACAAGTACAGAGGCAATCATTTCCCAGAGAGGAATGGAGATGGCAGCTCACCTGCCACAGCCTCCAGCTGCTTGGTGAGAGCACACATGATGACGTCATTCTCCACTATGTAGCCCATGTCATCTAAGTTATCTCTATCGAACATGATCAAGGCCTCTGAGCAGGAGTCCCAAACCTGCAAACACAAAGAAAAGTGCATTAACTCTAATGAAACACAATTCTAACCCCAAGCCAGATGTGGCTTTCCAGAATGAGGTAGCACATCCCAGTCTATTGGCTGTTGGCCTCTTTGGCAGGATACAAGGTGAGAAGCCTCAGAATCAGGAATGGTGGGCACACCTGTGAGCCCAGTGCTTGGGCACTTGTCACAGGTGAGGACTGATCAGGCAAGATCCAGCTACAAAACAAGTTCAAGGCAAGTCTGAGCTACCTGAGCCATTACCACAAAAAGACCAAGCTAATTAATTAAAAAGAAAGTAGATTATTAGCCGGGCAGTGATGGCGCATGCCTTTAATTCCAGTACTCAGGAGGCAGAGGCAGGTGGCGGATCTCTCTGAGTTCGAGGCCAGCTTGGTCTATAGAGAGAGTTCTAGGATAGGCTCCAAAGCAACAGAGAAATACTGTCTAGAAGAAAATAAACAACAACAACAACAACAAAAACTGTAAGTCGATTCGCAAGAATGCCTTCCCACACTGAATTTAAATTTTAATTCATGCCAGGCAGTGGTGGTGCACTCCTTGAATCTCAGCCCTCAGGAGGCAGAGGCAGGCAGATCTCTGTGAATTTGAGGTCAGCCTGGTCTACATAGCAAGTTCCAGGACAGGCTCCATAGCTACAGAGAAACCCTATCTCAAAAAAAAAACAAAGAAACAAAAAAACAAACAAACAAAAAAACAAAAACAAATTGATTCATAAAACGTCCAGAGAAAGCAGACTCTAACAAGGTAACATAAGACAGACCAAGACATCAAGACATACCGACAAAATTAAGGGAAAGGAGGTACCTGCATCCGCCGGAAGGCTTTGCACCGCATATTGCAGATGTGGTCCCATGCACCAAAACCTAAAAAAAAAAAAAACACAGTGACTTCACATGGACCTCTGCTCCTGGGCTCCTTTGTGTCTCTCCAACTGCTAAGCAGGAGGTTGTTTTCAGTGTTTTCCAAAAGCAGAAGGGAAAAGCTCTTCAAGCTGTCAGGGTCAAGCCCTTCAGCTCTCTGCTCCAGATCACACAGCACGAAGACGCCAAAAGGCCAGAGCACAGTAAAGCAGTGATAATAAAAAAGGAAAAGTAAGCAGCATCAGCCTTTTTCCTTACTAGCTGTTATTAGCTATGAACATTCTAAAGACTGTTTTCTTCATCTCTTCATGGCACCAAGTACATTTGTGCTTTGAAGCAATATTTACTGAGCATCTAACAAGGGCCAATTATAATTTTAGATCCAGAGTAGATCAAACAAATTCCCATGTGCAGCTGATATTTTAGCTGAAGAGACAGACAACATGAACATGCACATAATATAATGTCAGGACAGCCAGGGCAGTTACACAGAAAAACCCTGTCCCGAGAAACTATAAAGAAAGGGAAAAAAAAAAAAAAACAAAAAAAAACAAAACAAAAAAAAAAAAAAAGCCGGGCGGTGGTGGCGCACGCCTTTAATCCCAGCACTCGGGAGGCAGAGGCAGGAGGATCTCTGTGAGTTCGAGACCAGCCTGGTCTACAAGAGCTAGTTCCAGGACAGGCTTCAAAACCACAGAGAAACCCTGTCTCGAAAAAAAAAAAAAAAAAAAAAAAAAAAAAAAAAAAAAAGAAAGGGAAAGAAAAGAAAAGAAGGATCTATAGGAACTAAGGAGGTAACTCCATACATGTAGTGGTTATGCCTCATATCATCCCAGCAGTTGGGAGGTAGAAGCAGAGGGACCAGCATTCAAGATTAAGTTCAAGGCCAGATTCTATCTTTGAAAAAAGAAAAGAAGCCAGCCTCTAGTCCCAGCACTCAAGAGGCAGGGCCAGGCAGATTTCTGAGTTCAAGGCCAGCCTGGTCTCCAAAGCAAGTTTCAGGAGAATGAAGAAAGAAAGAAAGCACAAGCAAGCTATCAAGCTAAAGTGACTGAAGAGTTTAATTCTAGATAGAACGGTGTCAGGTAGGATGGCCTGATGGAGTACCACATAGCACACACAGACAATTCATCTACATCCCAAAAAAAAGACCATTAAAATGCAGACTCCCCAGCCCGCCTGAGGCCTGACTTGGAATAGAGTGAATGTAGGGGACTAAATAATAATGGTCTAACATCATAAATGAGGTGACATGATGGATCCACGTGTCTCGAGATATCCTCTCCAGACCAAGACTCGACACTGTCCACTTCAGCAGCCCTCATCTTCAGTTATGACCACTGCGAGCTTCCTCTTCCCTGCTCTGGGGACTGTCCTATGGGCCTGCTCTGTGCCCTGTGGGAAAGCCGAGAGGAGAGGAGGCAGGACCAGGAGTCGGACTCATCTACTCACTACTGAGCAGGGTTGCAGAGCCAGGGGAGATGGAGCTGACTCTGTTGCTGTAAGTGTCTGACAGTTTCTCCAGTACTTTCTTTGGACCTGCCTCTAGCAACAGGATTTTCTTGTCACGAAAATGAATGTCATGTCCTAAAAAAGAAGAATTAACATTTTAATTAATTTTAGGAATTTAATTACAAGGACTTAATTACACAGTAAGGCAACTACAACTAATAACAATGCTGCACACTTCTAAAGAGAGCAGAAGTTTCAAAGTTTTCATCATAAAGAAATAATAAATGCTTAAGGAAATGTTTAAGTAGACTTAAAATTATGTATGTGTGCATCAAACATTACAAGGCACACCGTTAATAAGTATACTTTTTATGCTTTAAGTATTCAATCAGAAACAAATACAAACCAGCGATGGTAGCTCACACCTGTAATCCTAGCACCTAGAGGCTAAGGTGGGATGCTTGCTGTTGTGTGATATTTTCATTGTGTTCTGACAAGTAAAGCTTGCTTGGAGTCAGAAAGTGATAAGGTGAACGGAAACAGGACCCTTTCTGGTTGGAGAAACCGAAGAGGTAGGAAGGGACTGTGGCACTCTCTCTGCTTCTCTGATTGGTCAAGTTTTTTACCCTGAGATCTCACTCTTGGTTTTTACTGGTAAGATTAATTAGATTTATGCTTCAGGTTACCATGATTTTCCAGTCAGCCTAGGCTACAGAATGAGAACACGTCTCAAAAACAAACAAAGCACAAAACACCAACAAAAACAAAAGAGACGAACTAGTCTCATAACCTTGGATGTGAAGTTTCTAGGCTGGGGACACAGACAGTGGTGGCGCACGCCTTTAATCCCAGCACTCGGGAGGCAGAGGCAAGCGGATCTCTGTGGGTTCGAGATCAGCCTGGTCTATAACAGCTAGTTCCAGGACAGGCTCCAAAGCTACAAAGAAACCCTGTCTCGAAAAACCAAAAAAGAATGGATTTAAATGTACTAGGGAATTATGCAGGGAACTGTTCCCAAACTCAGATGTGAGAGGGAACTACACACATGAAACATAAGTTAGTTGCATGTCTGAAGAGGAATAAAGGAAGACAGAGTAAACTTAAAGGGAAAATTAATAAAAATTTAATAAAATTTAAAAAATTTAATAAAAGCCTACATGAATTAGGAGTGTGTTTGGAACCTCAGCTTTAGGGAGGTGGATGGGGGGAGGGGTGCCACTTCAAGTTCCAGGCCAGCCAGGACTACAGAATAGGACCTCATTTCAAAAGAATAAATAAACAAAAGCCTAATGAAAATGTCTTATATATTGTTTGTTTGTGTTTTTTTTTTTGGACAGAGGGTTTGATACACTTGATGCTGACCTGAATCAACTTATAACTGCAGAAAAGGCAAATTACAGACAGGAGGCTGGAGACTAGCTCTTTAGGGCTGAGAGGATAAGAAAAAATGGAGTAACTTCTAATGAGCTCCAAGATTTTTTTGTTTTGTTTTGTTTCTAAGAATAAGGAAAGTGTACTAAAACTTACTGTGTTGATTTGGGGGGGGGGGGGGGAAGGGGGTTCGAGACAGGGTTTCTCTGTAGCTTCGGAGCCTGTCCTTGTAGACCAGGTTGGCCTGGAACTCACAGAGATCCGCCTGCCCCTGCCTCCTGAGTGCTGGGATTAAAGGCGTGCGCCACCACCGCCCTGCTACACAACTCTGCGAATGTATTAAAAAAACAGATTGGACTGCATGCTGCTTTAAGTGGGAGGCCTTACAACTATGTGAACTGTACTGTGAGCAGCTTTAGGGCCGGGCGCCTTTAATCCCAGCCCTAGGGAGAAAGAAGCAGGCAGATCTCTGAGTCCAGTTTGGTCTGTTATCCAATACTACAAGGCTCATAAATTCTGGGCAGTTCCCACGGGGAGGAATGACTTATAAGGCCCGCCCACTTTTGATCCCATAAGACTGAAGCGTCGTGCTCATTCCTGTGGGTCCGAGGGCTCCCCTGGGAGGGAAGCGAGCAAACCACCAGGTCGGGCTGTGAGCATGTCCGTCCCTCCGCAGCCCAGTTCCCCGCCAGCCACCGCCGGGGTGCACCTACCCAAGGCACAAGCCATGGCAGCGCCCACCAGGCCTCCTCCTGACACCACCACATCGTACACGGTGTCTGCCGAGGAGCCGGCCCATCGCCGACAGGCAGCTAGAGGGCGTCGTCCGGCCGCAAGCGGCGCGCTACTCCACCAGCGGACACACAGCAAACCGGTCATGGAGCCAGTGCGGGCCGCCATAATGACTTGCGCCTGCGCCCTGGACACTCCAAGCACCCGCCTGGGTAGCACTTCCGGGGCAGAGTCTTTCAACCCTGTGCCGCTTTAGGCCTTTCTTCGGAACCGGAAGTAAAATGGGCGGAGAAACTAGGCCAATCAGAAAGTGGCTCCTGACTCCTTGGGCGGAACAGACTGGACACTGGAAGCCAATCCGAGGCTAGCGCTACAAAGGGGCGTGGCTACGAGTGTCTCGCAGGCCGCGCTGCTGTCACCGCCGCTGTCGCTGCCGCTTCTGCTTCTGGTTAGGAAGATGACGGTGGGGAGATCTGCCGGGCCGCCCGATTGCACCGAGTGGAGCCGTGAGGTGAGCGGAGAAAGGAGGAAGCAGGATGCCTCAGAAAGGAATCCCCAAGAGGGGAAACTGTTTGGCGTTGCCGTGGAGACAGTCAGGGGCGTGTCACCGAAGGGCGTGGAATTACAATTACTTGTGCTTAGGTGTTGAGGGACTCTGTCTTCAAGTCGTTGCGTGCGACTGAGGAAGAGGGGAGAAACAGGGAGAGGCTTCCAAAGGCTGCCAAGGTTTTGTTGTTGTTTTAGAGTAAGGAAATGTACTGTAGTGATGAATGCGCAGCTTTGCGGATATACTAAGGTTCATTCAACTGTATGTGTGTCTACTCTCAACCTCATTTTCTAGAAAACAAGACAGATTAAACAATTTCCCCCAAATCTATAAAGACCAAAGGTAGGCTGCTGGTTGCTAAGGGCTGACAGAGTGAGAAACAATTTGCGATGGTTAAGGGAAATTTAAAAATAGCTACTAAAGGCTATAGTGTTTCTTTAGGACCATTGTTCTCAACCTGAGAGTCCTGGCCCCTTTGGGGGGCATATGGCCCTTTCCTAGGGATGGGATATCAGATATTTACATCAGGATTCATAACAGTAGCAAAATCACACTACAAATAACTTTATGGGGCTGGAGAGACAGCTCAGAGATTAAGAGCACTGAGCCAGCCTGAGTTCAATTCCCGGCAACCACATGGTGGCTCATAGTCATCTGTAATGAGACCTGGTGCCCTCTTCTGGCCAGCAAGCATACAGACAGACAGAAAATTATATACATAATAAATAAATAAATCTCCCAGCACTCGGGAGGCAGAGGCAGGCGGATCTTTGTGAGTTCGAGGCCAGCCTGGTCTACAAGAGCTAGTTCCAGGACAGGCTCTAAAAAGCTACAGAGAAACCCTGTCTTGAAAAACCAAATAAATAAATAAATAAATCTTTAAAAAAATAACTCTGATTGGGGGTCAGCCCAACATGGGGAACCATATTAAGGGGTTGCAGTATTAGGAAGGTTGAACCACTGCTTTACTGCTTTAGGGGAAGAAAGAAAATGTTCTGAATTACACTATGAGAATTAAGCAGTTCTGCTTATATTAGAGCCAGTGCCTTAAAGAGTTGAGTTGTATACCATGGGCATTGTGTTTCAGTAATACTTTTAAAAAGAAAGAGCCAGCGTTATGGTTCAGACCTGTAATCCCACCAACTCAAGAGTCTAAAGTAGCAGGATCAAGAGTTCAAGGTCACCCTTTGATGCTGGAGTGAGGAAGAGAAGGAAAGGGGGAGAGAGAATTGAGCCCTGGATCACATGCTCTTCAGCAACGGAGCTAGGGGCACAGCACACACAGATCTTTAACCCAGATGGACGGCTCCAATTGCAACTAAGCATCTATCTTCCCCTCCTGGCCTAGTTCCTGCCAACCTAAGGGCATGTCAGGCCAGTCCTCCAGCCACACCCGCTTCTTCCTGTCACTTCAAGATTCACTTGAGGAAATAAAAATCACCCTGAAACTGAGAATCAGACATTCCTGACCTCAATGGTCCAGTTCTGCTCTCAATTTTATAATGGCGGCAAAGCAGCATGCATTCAGCAGGAACAAGACTTTAAACTTTTATTTTCTGCTCGTGTGATACTGGGGACTGAGCCTAGGGGACTAGCCCTGTGCATAGGTAAGTGTTCCGCTGCGGAGCCAAAGCCCCGCCCCAGATTTTCAGTCTTTCTCTGAATAGCCATAGGATCCCTGTGTTGGGCAGTGGCTGTGACTTGCAGTTCCTTGTGAGTCACACAATCAGGAGAGTAGTAGACTGATGCTAAAACTCTGTCCCCACACATTTGCTATAGTTTTCCTGGAGGCTATGCTACGTGTTGATGAATTTAATCCTGATTATTGGTACATCCTGGTGACCTCAGATGTGTATCGGCAGAAAAGCTTTCCTAGGGCACATTTGTGTTATCTTGTTCTCACGAGAATACAAGCTTCACAACATAGTAGGCACCCGGCCCAAATGTTCTTCTATACACATGGATGAACGTGTTTTTGGTGCTGGTGCTTCACAGTGCTAGGCAAGGGCTCAGCCGCTGAGTTTCGCTCCTAGCCCTTGACATATTTAAAAGCCGGTTGGGTGTTCTACTCTCATGTTGCTCTTTCACCTAGACACATCGTTCCTGATGCCAATCATCCTTTCCTGATGATGGTGTGGAAGTTGGCTAGGATGTGAGGAAAGTAAGGCCGTCGATGGGGAAATAAGAAGAGGAAGATGGGGAACAATTAGGTTAATCCCAAATCACCCTGGGAACAGAGGGTAGCCAAGGTCACGGGCAAGGTCACGGGCAGGCATCCTGGAGCACTGAGACAGAATGTGTGCTTCCCTTGTTACTCAGGGTGTTCTTCGTGCTGAGCGGAGCAGGGAACTGGCATTAGCTCTTCTGCACGATCCCTACCCATAGACAGGCATATAATACATTGTATTGGGAAATGGCTTTTTTTTTTTTTTTTTTGGTTTTTCGAGACAGGGTTTCTCTGTGGCTTTGGAGCCTGACCTGGAACTAGCTCTTGTAGACCAGGCAGGTCTCGAACTCACAGAGATCCGCCTGCCTCTGCCTCCCGAGTGCTGGGATTAAAGGCGTGCGCCACCACCGCCCGGCGGGAAATGGCTTTTGAGTGAAGAACACATCTTACTTTTCTTTGCCCCTTCTTAGTCCCTGATATACCGGGTCTTATTCAAAGCAAGGTTAAAGTCATTTTTGAGTCTCTCTGAAATTACAATTTAACTCACTATTGATTTCTCTTTTGTTTTAGATATTTCCCCCCAAATCTTCTTCAGACACTGAGCCAGAAGATGAGCTGTCTGGAGAAGGGCTGGTTTTGCCCAGAGCTGGAAAACTCCATGAGTTCCTCAGCCCAGAGGAGGAAACAGATTCTGCTTCTGACTCCACTGGGAGCTTTTCTAGGACCTTACAGGCTGGAAAGCAGAAAGGCCGGTGGAGTCGGCTGGAGTCTCTGTGTCAGTCTGACCCAGACAGTGGTCAGGATGGCTCTGAGGATGAGGAAGACTTAGAGACTTTCTTCCAAGACAAGAGCAGGGGGAAGCCACAGGTCCGGGACCCTCCATCTCTTCGGTAAGACACTGCACTCAGTGACTGCGCATTCCGGCACTGCAGGCCAGTCATTCCATAGTTCAGGACCCTTGCCTTCCCTGTCAGACCACCTCTGGAAGTTGTCATTCATCTAAGACCCAGCCCAGAGTTAGCTCTGGGATCCAGCCTGACGCTGCGATTCTTTTGAATAATGCTATTTTCTGTCTATGGGTGTTCTGCCTGCATGTACTGTGTACCATGTATTTGCCTAGTGACCGTGGAGAACAGAAGAACGTTGGGTTCCCCGGAACTGAAGGTACAGACAGCTCTGAGCAAACACTCTTAACTGCTGAACCATCTCTCCAGCCCACGTGTTTTGAGTCTTACCTGGCCATCCATCCTAAAACACTCTGGGCAGCACTTGCTTAGTTGAAGCACAGGAATGACCCACGGGATTCCTTTCCCAGACAGCCTTTCCTCCAAGAGTTCATTGCCTGTGGCCAAGTCTGCCAATGCGTATATGCTCTATCTTTTATGTTTGTTTCCTGTCTTTTTGAGACATAGTCTCATATACTGCAGGCTGACCTTAAATTCCTGAGCTTTCTTCCCAGTTACACCTCTCAAGGGCTTGGATTACAGGCTTCCGCCACCACACTAGCCTTTATCTCATTTAATATGTACTCTCTTTCCAATAAGCTCATGAGTGGATATTATTTCTGCCACTCTACATGGGAAATCCAAACACCTCAAGGTTTGAATTGGATCCCTTGACTCTGCAGCCCTGTGCCACTCCACTGCACTGTTTATCTTAGGCAGTTATCAGAATGCAAAGTGGCAATTCATGCATGAATTCTTAGGGGATAGATTCCATTGGGCCTCTGAGATTGCCTGTGGCAAGAAGGGAAGCCTTCGGGGCTTTGGGGCCAAGGCTAAGAAGCCTCTTGGTTCTGATCTGCTGGGCAGGGAGGATGGTGTGGGGAGGGATGGGGTGAGGCACTAGCCTCCTGACTGCAGGGTCTCACAGTGCAGCTTTCTCCTCAGGTGTGGCTCCATGAGGCGCTGCAGCTCCATGACCAGCCTTCCCTGTGACTTTGCCAAGACACAGAACCTGCCAGCCTCAGACTCTGGGCCTCCCTCCCAGCACAGAAGTGTCTGCTCCTGGGCCTCCTCCATCACTGTCCCTCAGCCCTTCCGCATGACACTGCGGGAGGCCCAGAAGAAGGCCCGGTGGCTGGCCTCACCTGCCTCCTTTGAGCAGGAGAGGCTGCAGGCCCAGAAACAGGGGCAAGAGGAGTCCGAGTGCTTTCGGCAGTTCCGGGCCCAGCCTGTGCCGGCGCATGTCTACCTCCCACTCTACCAGGAGATCGTGGAGCGCAGCGAGGCACAGAGGCGTGCAGGGATCCAGAAGAGGAAGGAGCTGCTTCTCTCCTCCTTGAAGCCCTTCAGCTTCCATGAAAGGAAAGAGCAGAAAAGGGAAGCTGCTCCACAGACAGACTCGGCTGCAGTGGCTCAGGCCAAGGTCCCCCCAAAGAAGGCCACTAGAAGGATCCCCAAGGCTGTTCTGGAACCAGCCCTTGGGGACAAACTCCAGGGTAAGGATACAGAGGCGCTACAGAGATGTACATGATGGTTCAGGGACTCCACTGGTGTGGGGATTACCCCATACAGTCGGTGTAGGACAGCAGAGAGGACTGAGTCTGTCCACAGTGGCTCTCCCCCTTCCTAATGCTGTGACCCTTTACTACAGTTCTTCATGCTGTGCGTGCTATGCTGACCCCAACCAGAAAAGTATTTCATTGCTACTTCATAATTGTCATTTTGCTACTGTCATGAATCGTAATATAAAATCTGATATAAAGGCTATCTCAACCCACCAGTTGAGACACACTGGTCTATGAGTGGTCCTACAGCAACCCCCCTCCTTGACCTGTCTCTGTAAGTACACGTGGAAACCTCTGGAGCAGCATAGGTACGGAAGCAAAGGTCACTACATAAAGGACCTCCATCAGCCAGTACCACTTCCAGCCTGCTGCCTGTGGGAGGGCCACCTGTCCCTCCCTCACCCTGAAGAGGGACTAACCATTGGGGGAATGGTTGTTAACATTCCCCTATTATCTACCACGGACTTTAGTGTTTAAATGAGGGTAAGTTTGGCCCGTGGTTGCCTTGCCTGTAATCCCACCTTCTCAGGAGGTCAAGGCAGCAGGGTTTAGATAAATTGGAGACCAATCTGGGCTGCACAGTGAGAGTCTGTCTCCAAAATAGGGGAGAGTGTCCTCCAGACTTAATACCTCTCCTCTTCCTTCACTGCCCTCTCACAGAAGCAGAGCTCCTCAGGAAAATTCGAATCCAGATGCGAGCCATGGACATGCTCAAGATGGCTTCGTCCCCCATCAGCACGTCCAGTAGCCAGACTCCCCGCACAGCTACCCGCACCCAGGAGGAAAAGCTGAGCTTTCTACAGACAGAATTCGGATTCCAGCCTCGGGTGAACCCTGGGGTCCCTGACTACGAGGGCCTTTACAAGGCTTTCCAGAAAAGAGCTGCCAAGAGAAGGGAGACCCGGGAGACAACACGAAACAAGCCCTTCCTGCTACGGACGGCCAGCCTGCGCCACACTCCACGGCCCTGTGATGTCGCTACTGCTGAAGGCGGGAAAAAGAGAACCCAGGCAGGTGGCAGGGAAGGCCAGGGTCTGATGCCTGATGTGCAGACAGAGTGGGCCCAGGTCTCAAAGGAAGGCAGTTACCTTGACATTTTTCTTTTTCTGTTTTGACCACCTGCTCAGTTGCACTCAGATCCACATTTGTTTTTAAGATTTATTTATTATGAATACAGTGTTCTGCCTGCACGATAGAAGAGGGCACCAGATCTCATTACAGATGGGTGTGAGCCCATGTGGTTGCTGAGAATTGAACTCAGGGCCACCAGAAGAGCGGTTAGTGCTCTAAAGGTCTGGACTGTCTCTTCAGCCCTCAGCAGATCCACATTCTGTAAACTGAAAACAAGAACACACCTTTCCCACCTCCCTAGAGGGATTTCTGCAGATGTAAGTCCAAGCAAGCCTGAGAGCCCAGTATGTCTTGGCTTTGTGTCCTGTCGCTGTGATCGAATACATTGACCAGAGCAGCTCCTTCTAGCTCGTAGTCCCAGGTTGCAGTCTGGTACAGCTGGGAAGTCACAGTGGCAGGAATTGAAGCAACTTGTCATATTTATAGTCAAGAGCAAAGAGCGAGCGGACACACTCTTGTGCTTGCTCTTTATCCACGCACACGACTGGTGGGTCTCCCCACTTTAATTAACATAATTAAGACAACCCCATGGACACGCCCCCAGACCACCTGATCCAGATTCTCTTCCCAGTGATTCTAGAGTGGATTAGATGGACAAAGCTAAACACTAGGATTGGGGGCCTGGTGGTAGTGGCGCACGCCTTTAATCCCAGCACTTGGGAGGCAGAGGCAGGCGAATCTCTGTGAGTTCAAAACCAGCCTGGTCTTCAAGAGCTAGTTCCAGGACAGGCTCAAAAGCTACAGAGAAACCCTGTCTCAGAAAAAAAAAAAAAGACCCATATCAAAAAAATAAACAAAAACATTAGGATTGGTATGCAAGTTTGGGCCTTATAACTAAATAAGATCTTGTTCTCATCCCCAGGGGTGGAGGAAATAAATATTCTCATTTCTAGTCCTTCAATGAAACTGAATCCTAATTAGGATAGAAACTAATTGCATGGGCTGGAGAGATGGCTCAGTGGATAAGAGTACTGGTTGCTCTTTCAGAGGTCCTGAGTTCAATTCCTAGCAACTATAGGGTAGTTCACAACCATCTGTAGTGAGATCTGGTGCCTTCTTCTGGCCTTTAGGCATACATGAGACAGAACACTGTATACATAATGAATAAATAAATCTTAAAAAAAGAAGAAGAAGAAGAAGCTTGGTGGTGGTGGCACATGCCTTTAATCCCAGCACTCGGGATGCAGAGGCAGGCAGATCTCTGTGAGTTCGAGGCCAGCCTGGTCTACAAGAGCTAGTTCCAGGACAGGCTCTAAAACTACAGCGAAACCTTGTCTTGAAAAACAAAAAACAAAATAAAGAAAAAACGATTTGTTTTTTTTTTAAAAAAAAAAAGAAAAACTAATTTCATGTTGTCACCAATGCCAGCTCTTCTTTCTTGTAGAAGTCCCCTCAGCCAGCCGCTACCCCCTTGTCAAGGAGTCATTCTCTGAGTGGTCTTGCTTCCTTTTCTGCCAACACCCTCCCTGTGCACATCACAGATGCTACCAGGAAGAGGGAGTCTGCAGTCAGGTGAGTAAGGAGGTCAGAGCAGACCCATGGCAGAACTAGAGCTGGTCCTGCTGCTGGGTCTCTTCTGCCATTATCAGAGACACCTCAAGGGGCTGGAGGAATTCTCTGATGGGGTGGGAATATGTGTTCCCATCCAACAAATTCTTTTGAGGTCTTAGTCTGTGCAAGACACGATGTCAAGCCAGAGATACCCTGGGGAACTTAGAGTGTAATATGAAGTCCGAAATGTGGGGTTTTTCAGGTGATTGCCCTGTCTTATGAGCAGTCAGTATAGAGGACTATGACGACACAGGGGCACCTAGGGTACTGGTCTCACATGTCTAAGGTAAAACATGAAGGAAAAGATTAAGGAAGAAGGGGCCGGGCGATGGTGGTGCATGCCTTTAATCCCAGCACTCGGGAGGCAGAGGCAGGCGGATCTCTGTGAGTTCGAGACCAGCCTGGTCTACAGAGCTAGTTCCAGGACAGGCTCCAAAGCCACAGAGAAACCCTGTCTCGAAAAAACAAAAAAACAAACAAACAAAAAAAAAAAAGAATAAGGAGGAAGGGACTGGGAAATGACTCAGTTGGTAAAGCATTGGCCGTGCAAACCTGAGGACCTGAGTTCAGATCCTCGGCACCCTACAGTCTGTGCCTAGTCTGTGCCTACAGCGCTTGCTCTTTCGGGTCAGTAGTGGATGGAGAGAGAAAATCCTCCAGCTTGTTGGACATCCATTCTAGCCAAAATGGGAGTTCCATATTCAGTGAGCAGCTGCTGTCTCAACATAAGGTGAGGCCAACTAGATGACAGAGTAGATAAATACACTTGCTGGCGAGCCTGCCAACCTCAGTTCAATCCCTGGACCCCCGTGGTAGAATGTGAGACTTGACTCTTGCAAACTCTCCCTGACTTCCACATGCATACTATGAAATATGCCCCCTCTAAGGAATAAGGAGGGACGAGTCAGACAAAGGCTAGAGAGACAGAAGTTTCCAGAGAAAGAGAATGTGTAAAGCCTGCCTATGAGACTGTTAGTAGTATTGTAGTATTGTTTTTGTCCAGCCTGCTGTCCCTGGCAGTGTGCTCAATGATCTTTTCTTTCCATAAGAAAAAAAAAAAATTCAAGTCTGTGGACTTTCTAGCAGTTAAGCTGACCTGCCTCTGTGGTGCTGTTCTCATTTAGTCAGAGTGAGCCAGGGAGCCATGATCTAGCTGAGCCTGGGATGACACCCCAGTTCCCCCCAAGAGGCTCCCAGGGTATAGCAGCAGTACCCTATGTCCCCGTCTCACCTTGCAAGAATATATTTAGGATGTAGTGATACTCCCTCCCTCCTCAGATTTCATGGCTACTAACCCCAGGCCAAGCGCACCAGTATCCCAAGGCCTAGGAAGCGACCATATATGCTGCCCAGTGGCGGGGTAGGCACTTCAGCAGATTAAACTTTGGTGCCTTTCTTCCTGCCATTTGTATTTCTACGTGCAGAGTCTTTTGGGGGAACCCACCACAGAACTCTAGAGTAATTACATGAACTGAGTGCTCCAAGTTGAACCCACATTACCTACATTGGAGGCCTGTTTCCAGACCTTCATGGAAATAGAGATTTGACCTCTCAGAGAACTGGGAGCCTAAGTCACTGCCTGCACAGTGGTAAAGGGCAAACTCGGGAATCCACCATCCTGGTTCTGGTTTTGGTTTCGCTTTGTATTCTGAGTAGCTGTGAACAAGAGACTTTCTGCCTCTCAGTCCCATGTCAGAAGGGGCCTCATGTGTCTACCTCATCAAGGCCTTGTGAGAATTACATGAAATGTAATGGTCTTTGGCTCCTGGTAGGCGGCTTGGTAAACGGTAGCTATAGTACTGCTCCAGATAGGGGAAAAGCCTAGCAGACCTACTGAATTTTAGCTGTGTAAGGCCATTTTAACTCGTGTCTTCTGAAGAAAAAAAAAAAAAACAAAGAAAATGGGTACCTCTTGGTGGGAAATCACAGGACCCAAAGGGCTGGAACGGTATCATCTACCACTGTTTTCCACTCCAGAATAGATGTTTGTTTGTTGAGATGGGGTCCCATGTAGGGCAGGGACATCCTGAGCATCCAATCCTGCTCTCAAGTGTTAGGATTTTTTTATCACCATGCCCATCCCCAGAATCATTGTTTCTGTAAGTGTACTTGTGGCAAATTTATAGAAAATATCTTATTCATAGAAACACCAGCTAGGGGCTGAAGATGGCTCAGTGGGTTAAGAGCATGTACTGTGGAGGACTTGAATATGGGTCCTAGCACCCACACTGGGCAGCTAACAACCGCTTGTCACTCCAGCAGACTTGATGCCCTCTCTGTACCCTGGGGGCACCTGCACTCACATGAGCACACAACCCTTCAAACAAACAAAAAAATCTTACCCAAAACAAAAACAAAACAAAACAAAACACTTAACTGACTTTGACTTTTCAGAGAAGTCACTAAGATTGCTTGCTTATAAATGTACCCACGTTATCTCTCACTTTTGCTTTCTCCTTTAGAATGTCACTTGAAAAAAAAGACATATCAGACAAGAGCATTCAGTGGCTGGAGATGCACAAAAAGAACTGTCAAGCCATGTCTAAATCAGTGACCCTGCGGGCTAAAGCCATGGATCCCCATAAAAGCCTGGAAGAGGTGTTCAAAGCGAAGCTGAAAGAGAACCGGTCAGTGTCCCCTGTGCTCAAAGGAGCACCTGGGTTAAGTTCCAGCACATCGCGGGCTTTGAAATAGCAAGATGGAGTCAGGGTAAACTGAATCATCAAAGTCAGTCAAGGATTTTGGCAGGCAGTAGGAATTCAGTGTACGTGGGAATGACTCTGCTTAATCTGAATGAAGGGTTTTCTGATTAAAAAAGATTGGTTGCTTCTAGAAACTTTGTTAATTCCAGGAATAATGACCGTAAAAGAACAAAGGAATATAAGAAAGAATTGGAGGAGATGAAGAGAAGAATACAAACAAGGCCCTATCTCTTCGAACAAGTTACCAAGGTAAACCGAGAGTCTCAACTCTTCTCTGCCTTGAACCAAGGCTTCTTAGAAACTGTGAAAAGATCTTATTGTGTGAGTATCAGAGTTTTCTAAGACTCAGATATTCTAAATTGAACTCTATCAATTTGATTGTACTGAATGACCTAGGAAGTTAAAGCAGAACACTTCTGGGTGTGTCTTTGAGGATGTTTCCAGAAAGAACTAACTAAGGAAGGAAGACCCACCCTGACTATGGGCAGCACGATCTCATAGCTGGGGCCCAGGTGATAAAAGGCGCGGGCACACATTCTCTTTGATTCCTGGCCATCATGATATGCACAGCCCCTGCCATATGCTTTTACCTCCATAATGTTCAGCCTTGCCAGACGTTAAAGTGACAGGGCCAAAGGACTATGGTCTCAGACTTCTGAAACTATGAGCCAAAACAAGTATTTCTTTTCACTTTTTAAAATATAAAGATATTTGAGACAGAGTTTCTTTTTATGTGGTACAAGCTGACCTATAACTGATTGAGTGCAGGATGGACTTGAATGCACCATCTTCCTGCCTTAATCTCCCCTTTGCTGGGATTAAAGAAACGCACCACCACGCCCAGCGTTTACATTGCTTATGTCAGGCAGTTAGTTAATGACAAAGGCTATTTGTTTTATTAATGCCATTTTACTCCAAACGTAGGTCCTTAAGGGTCAGGGTGCTTGCTTTTAAGCACCCCAGAAATCTCTTTCCAGAGATCTCCCTAAGGAAGCTCACCTCAGGCAGTTAGGTGCTGTGTCTGACTCTGGTTCAGTGTGGGTGAGCGCTCCATCATACGAGTGTGTGCTATTCCTAGGTAATGGTGGATGTCCTCCTGCTGCAGATACCCCTTCCCCTAGAATTTACTTAGGCTGACCTCCTTAGGTCCATTTTTGTCAAGTAAGCTCATTCTTCTTTTCACAACAGATCTTTCAACATACTAGAACAAAATACAAAGTAGCCTATGGTTTTGTTCTTGAATCGGTAAAACAAGATAGGCTTCTTCTGGCTATATAAGGACCATTGTCATTCTGCTAAGGATTTTAATATGTTAGTCTTCCTGATGATGATGGTTTGGGTGCTTTTCAAAGGTGTGGCTCTCAAATTAATTAACAGTTGACACCTCCCAGAAGTGTTAGAATACAGAATTGTAGACCTCATCTGAGACCTACTAAATGGAAACCTGTTTTTGAACAAGATCCCCATGGGGCTCCTTTTTACCAGCTATGGCTACGAAATAAGCCTCAATGTGATTGTTGTGCCAACTTTTGTCTAGCACTAAAGGTGGGGGTGGTGGAAGGGGCAATATTATAAAGACTGATTATCATAACTCGCGAGACTTCTACAGTCAGCCAACTTCCACTCCACAGGCCCTTGCCAGGAAAGAAGCAGAAGAGCGGTATCGGGACACCCTGAGGCAGGCTGGCCTGGAGGAAGAGTTTGTGAGAACCAAGAGTCAAGGCACACAGGCTGTGCAAGGCAAGAAGAAAGCCAAAGCCAAGGATTCTCCTAGGTACTGAGACCCTCGTATCATCTGTGGCTCTAACTTGTTATCCCCAATGACACCACTAGGGGAAAATTTAGAGTTTACATTCCTATACTTCCACAACAGCTTGTCCACACATCTCTACTTGTGAGATGATCAAACTACTTGGCTGGCAGACCTCTCCTTATAGCTAACTCCCTGGTATCACCTCTTTCATAACTAATACGTCATAAGAGAAAAGCAGAATATTACTGTTATTTCCAGTTTTATTGTTTTAATCCCAAGTAATTCCTGTTTTTATCTTTAAAATTATATTTCTACCAAATAATGAAAATGCTGAGACCATTCTTAAGCCTTATACATCCTTTCAATTTACAATATTGTTTTCCCAGAATCCATGATACTATAAAACTCAGCATCCAAGATTCATGGCAGGATTTAGATGACTCTGGACCAGCCTGCTGACCCATGGAGGAACTGAAGAGCAATTGCTTGAACAACTAACCAAACTGCTTGTTGAAGCAGTTCGTTCATCATTACCACATCTGATCATCAAGCAGCCAACTAGGTGAGGAGCTTGAGTTTAGAGCCATGGCTACTGTTAGGGAATGGGAGAAAATAACAACAGAAATGGCTTGAAGAGATGGAAGTAGAGTCGAAAGCGGAGGGGTCCAAGGTTCTTGCTTTGCGCTTGACACTAAGGAGTGGGCACAGAAAACAAGGTAGAAGCCCACACCTATGGAGTAGGTACAAGAGGAATGCAGGTAGAAAAACGGGTAGCAATAAGGAACTAGAGATCCAGGGCCGCCAGATCATACACATTCTTTTTGTTTTGTTTTGTTTTGTTTTTTTGTTTTTCGAGACAAGGTTTCTCTGTGGCTTTGGAGCCTGTCCTGGAGCTAGCTCTGTAGACCAGGCTGGTCTCGAACCCACAGAGATCCGCCTGCCTCTAGCAGCCAGAAACCTGGTATCCTGGTAACCAAACCTTTAGGAATACTGTGCATGTAATAAAACATAGGTCTCAGTCTACATCTGCAACCTGACGCACAGGCCCTAACACTAGCATCTGATACACAGGAACAGGTCAGTTGTTGTTGTTTGTAGGATGTCTTCGCACCCCTTGCCTCTACCTACTGTATGCCCTGCAGCACCCATTGCCAAAAATGGCCTCTAGAGGGCAAAAAAGTCCTGGATTGAACATCACTGCTGTAGAAAGCAAAGAGAGACTGATAATTTTGGAAAAACAAGTAATTGCTATGAACTTAGTCTCCATACTAAAGGATAATTAGGCATGCCAATAACAAACTCAGAACAGCAGTTCTGTTCTGCCATTCTTGAGAACACAGCACTATGTGAATGTTTGTAACAGCATAAAATTCATTTTACATAAAACTTCTGAACACTGTGATTTTGTACTAATAAGTAATCTTCGGGATGTTTTTGTCAATTAGCTGTGCTGTAGGCAGATAACAGTTCTCATGTTAAACCATTTCTGGGAAAATTACCATTTATTACTGCCATCAAGACTTAGACGTCATATTTTAGACTGATACTCTGACAATAGCAATTTAGGTTTGCCAGTTCTGTTTGCTTGTTTTTTTGTTTTGTTTTTTTAAGTTGAGGTAGCTCCCATTGTCCTGGAACTCTCTATGTTCCAGGCTGGCCTTGAACTCAAGAGATCCAGCTGCCTCTGCCTCCTGTGTGCTAAAATTAAAGGGGTGCACCACTACCACCAGCTTAGGTTTGCCAGTTCTAAACAGTGGTGTCAGGTTTCTTTCTCTGCATAGACCAGGCTGGCCTCAAACTCAGATCTAATGTCTCTGCCTGCCCAGTGCTGGGATTAAAGGTGTTCACCACCACCACCTTGTCTGGTTTCCTAAGGCTCCTCAGTTCAGTTTTACCTATACAGTATCCTAAAAGCTAGCACCCTATCTTATGGTAGTAGTGTTTTTCCTTTTTAAAATTATGGTATGTGTGTGTGTGTTGTGTGTGTGTGTGTGTGTGGGGTATGAACATGAGTGCAGGTCCCCACAGACACCAGCAGAGGGCATCAGATCCCTTAGAGCTGGAGTCAGAGGGTGTTGTGAGCTGTTTGATGTGGGTGCTAGGAACTGAACTGTGTCCTCTGGAAGAGCAGCAAGTACTCTTAACTGCTAAACCATCCCTCAAGACAAAAGTGTGTTTTTACCTTTTTCTTTTTGGAGACAAGTTCTTACTATGTAGTTTTGTCTATCCTGGAATTCCCTATGTAAATCAGACTTGCCTCAAACTTAAGAAATCTGTCCTCTGAATGCTGGGGTACCACCACACCTGGCTTATCAGTGTTCTTTTTATTTTCTTAAGGCAGTGCCTCACTGTGTAGACTTGGCTGCCTGGAACTTACGTGACAAGGCTGGTCTCAAACTCATAAGGGATCTGACTGCCTTAAAGGGATGACTCCTATCCCTAGCCCCCTTTCTCTTTTCTTTTCAGTGCCCTATCTTAAAGAGGAAGACTAGATTATTTTCTTGACCTCTTCTCTAAAACAGCAGTTCTCAACCTATGGGTTGTGATCCCATCAGATATTTACATTACAATTCATAACAGTAGCAAAATTACAGTTATGAAGTAGCAACGGAGATAATTTAATGGGGTTAGCACAACATGAGGCACTGTATTAAAGGATTGTATTAGGACAGATCAGAACCACTGGTCTAAAACAAGAGCCAAAGAGCAGACTGGTTGTTTTGTTTATTTAAAAGGAAAACTGAAACTCTAGATCATGTGGTTTTTAACTTAAAAAAAAAAAAACGCTCATAACATGCTACTTTAAGTCCCATAAACAAAACAAAATGACCAAGTAGAGGTGTACAGGTACCTCAGCCTGGGCCAAGGGGAGATTCAAGTAATTTATGTTTTACAGCCCAATGGCTGAGAGTCTTTTATGCAGGTTGCTAAAGGAAGAATGTCACACATAACTGGCATCACTCCCTTCTTCAAAGCAACAAGGCATCTTGAAAACTCAATGTCCTGGTGAAGTTCTAGAGTTGGAAGCAGGCCATCATTTAACCATATAAAGATAGCTGGGTCTAGGATGAAAACTCTCCGAAGGAAAACCCGCACAGTCACAATGCAAATATTCATCCAGCACATCATTACACTGCAGTAGGAAGAGAGGCAGCTACAGCATCCAGCCCACAGTCACAGCCTCACTCTGTCAGGATCAGATAGAGGTTGAAGAGAAGCCCTCAGGAGGAATCCCTCTTCTCAGCCAGGGACGATGGACAGAAGCAAGGCGAGATCTTTGGCCTTCACAGATTCATTTTAGTTCTGGCAGAATGTGAGTCTTCTGGATCTGTTCCCATCATGTACTCTGGGGTCAGATAGAGCTGCTTCTCCAGAGGTCAGCACACTCATGTCTGTCTTTCCGTTAAATCTCCTTGATTTAGTAACTATAAAATTGAAAACAAATATAGACTAGGTTACAGATGAATTACAGAAGCAAAAAAAACCACCTTAGACTAAATGAAAGGGTTAAGAGTGGAATCTGGGGAATGGACTGATAAATCCAGTAAAGGATGATGGGCAGAACTTACTTATAATCTGTTTTTAATTTTTTTTTAAAGATTTATTGTGTATACAATGTTCCTACTGCCTGTACACTTCCATACCAGAAAGGGCACCAGATCTCATTACAGATGGTTGAAAGCCACCATGTGGTTGCTGGGAATTGAACTCAGGACATCAGGAAGAGCAGTCAGTGCTCTTAACCTCTGAGCCATCTCTTCAGTCCCTGTTTTTAATTTAAAAAAAAAAAAAAGGCCGGGCGGTGGTGGCGCACGCCTTTAATCCCAGCACCTGGGAGGCAGAGGCAGGCGGATCTCTGTGAGTTCGAGACCAGCCTGGTCTACAAGAGCTAGTTCCAGGACAGGCTCCAAAACCACAGAGAAACCCTGTCTCGAAAAAAGCAAAAAAAAAAAAAAAAAAATTATTTTTATTTCCTATGTATTGGTATTTTGCCTGCAATTATGTTTCTATGAGGGTGCTGAACTCCCCTGGAGTTACAGTTGTGAGCTGTAATGTGGTACTGGGAATGAACCTGGGTACTTTGGAAGAGTGGCCAGTGCTCTTAACCACCGAGACATTTTTCCAGCTCCCAAAAGCTTGCTTTTGTTGTTATTTTGTGATACAGGGTTTCTCTGTGTAGCCCTGGCTGTCCTGGAACTTGCTATATTATAGACCAGACCAGTCTCGAACTCAGAGATCTACCTACCCCTGCCTCCTGAGTAATAGGATTAAAGGCGTGTGCCACCATGTCTGGCTGCCACATTAACTGTGGCAATAAAATAACCTGAATCTACAAGTTCAACAATTGTGTTCATACCCATCAGTCAGTAATGGAACAATCACCACAGGGAAATCAATAATGGTAGAACCAAAACTGTGGTAAAGTCAGTCAATCCAAAATACTGACAAGCAGGGAAGGGAGCTGTTTCTGTTACAAGTCCTGAAGCAGGAACCTGCCCATTAGAGTTTCAGGGTTTCAGTAGGCTTAAAACCTTTTCTGTGGTGAAGGGAGACAGGCCTGAAGGACTCCTTCACTGATATTCCACTCTGTGCTGTTCAGTTTTTGAATATTAACTGATGAAACCAGTTTCCACCTGTGTGTGTACATACATATGTGCATGAAGGAGGTTCATATGCCATCTACCTTGTTTTTTTGAGACAAGGGCTCTTGCTACCTGAAGCTCATGAGTTTTGATGATGCAGTCACATATTGTCCGTCTCTATCTTCCCTACACTGGGATTACAAGGCACATGCTGACAAACCTAGAATTTTTTTTTAACTCCCCAATGTTGGGATTATAGGCACGTGTCACCATGCCAGACTGTTTTTTACAAGGGCTCTTGGGAGCTAACTCAGGTACTCATGCTTGTATGGCAAGCACTTGACAAAAAAGAGCTACCTCCCCAGTCCCACCAGAAAACAGGCAGAGCATGCCAGGAAGCAATATTCCTCCTGGTCTCTGCTTCAGTGCCTGATTCTAGGTTCCTGACCTGGCTTTCCTCCATGATAGACTCCAATCCATAAGCTGTAATAAACCTTTTCTTCATAACTTGCTTTTGGTCACGGTGTTTAAATCACAGCAATGGAGAAACAAGGTAATGTGTTACCAAATGAAAACATGGACTCTGTTTCAAGTTACACAACCAAAGACAGTTTTGAAGAGATAAAAAACAGAAACTCAATATTAGAGGACGACAAATTATTACTAAACTTGTTGGGTATGGAAAGACAGTTATTTTAAATCCTTATCTTTTAAGACACATACTTTAAAAAATTACAGATACGACTGTAATGCTTCAAAATATTCTGGCACAAACAGTAAGAGCTAACAAAAGCAGTATAAGTATGGAGGGACTGGAAAATGGCTCAGTAGTTAAGAGCATTTGCTGCTCTTGCAGAAAACGTGAACTTGGTTCCCAGCGACTACTCTGTGGCTCACAACCACCTACAACTCCAGTTCAAAAGGATCTGATGCCTTCTTTGGCCCCTCAGGGAACCAGGCATGCATGGGATACACACGCATACATGTAGTCAAAACAAACACGTAGAATAAAAATAATTGTTCAGGTTGGGTGAATGGTACATGGATTTTTATACCCACACCTCTCTCAATAGACCCTCCTTAAAGCTATTTCTATAAAATTTCAAAAAAGAAAAAGAGAGGCAAAAATACAGGGGACAGTGGCGTGAGACAGATGAATGGTTCCAAAACAGCAACCTACAAAAGGTAACTTAGAACCAATAATACCAACAGTAGAATGTTCAACACAAAGTAACAAGTCACAACAACAAACATAAAGTCCTGACAGAGTATGCTGACATGAATGCCCACCAACCTGTCATTCTAGATAACCCAAGAGTTAATATATTTAGAATATTTAGAGTCATTTGGATACTCTAATGGCTTACTAGGACACAAAGGCTATACTGAAAAGAGAGAGGGAAAAGGAAAGGTTGTAAAACAAAACACTGGCCTGGCGATCTCTGCAGAAAGCCTATCTGTATGCCATGAACATGTGATAGTCACACAGTCTCAAGACACAAGGTCAAGGCCTGATTGTTTTTTTTTTTTTTTTTTGTTTTTTGAGACAAGGTTTCTCTGTAGTTTTGGAGCCTGTCCTGGAACTAGCTCTTGTAGACCAGGCTGGTCTCGAACTCACAGAGATCTGCCTGCCTCTGCCTCCCGAGTTCTGGGATTAAAGGCGCGCGCCACCACCACCTGGCCTGATTGGTTTTCATTCTGTTTTCTTTCTTTTTTTTTTTTTTTTTGGTTTTTCGAAACAGGGTTTCTCTGTGGTTTTGGAGCCTGTCCTGGAACTAGCTCTTGTAGACCAGGCTGGTCTCGAACTCACAGAGATCCGCCTGCCTCTGCCTCCCAGGTGCTGGGATTAAAGGCGTGCGCCACCACCGCCCGGCCTCATTCTGTTTTCTGGGTCAGCCAAGACGATACAGTTGGAAGAGCTCAGAATCAATCTAAATCTCCTCGACTGGGATGACAGATCTCAGCAAACAAGCAACTGAACAAGATCCTTTTAGCTCAGATGGTTTGTCCTGTTAGCTCTCAGACTCATGACCACAGTGGGAAAAACGACACCTTTTTTTCTGAACAGGGAAAGTTTCGAATAAAGATTTTTTGGCCTTTTCTTTTTGCTTAGGTGTTTTGTTGTAGTTGTTTGTGGCAGGGTCTCATTATGTAGTCTTGGTTGGCCTCACATTCATCATGTCGACCAGGCTGGCCTCAAACTCATAGACCTGCCTGTTTCTGCCTCCCAAATGCTTGTATTAAAGGTATGTTCTACCACACTGGCCCAATTTTGCTCCCCTCCCCTTTTGAGAGAAGAGCTCACTCTGTAGCCCAGGAGGATATCCTGGAACTCACTCAGTAGTCTAGATTGCCTACTAACACATAATTCTT